ACCAAACTTACTAAGTTTCAAAACAAGTTCTATTGTACGGAGCTAAAACTTCGAAAACTAGCACAGTCGTCATCGAAAACGTACAATTGTTTATAAATAGCTATTAAAGATATTCCAAATCCATTGGCTAGACACTCTCAGCAATAATCTTGTCTGACAGTGAACAAACCAGCTTTCAACTGGGGAGGAAATCAGAAAAGGATGCCCGAGGTGGACAGGACACATGTCGCTAAAATAATCAAACTGCATCATAAGGCAAGTCCTTACTTGAAATCCTCAAGGTGAAAGGAAAAAGGGCAGGCCAGTTTATACATGACGTTGGGATTTGGACGCAGAAATCAAGGAGATGAATAGCATTTGGCAACAAGTGGAAACGAGAGTCTAGGACAGTTGATGATACCTGGTCAGCGGCCTATGCCCCACCAAGGGTAGTTGGTTTATGGGTAATGACCAGTACTTTCCTTCATCATAACACCCACGTGAGTTATTCTGGGACAAAAGTTAGTTTTAGCTTCCCAGTTACTTCGTGTTTTGATAATTGTCTTTGTCAAATATTTATATGCTAACCTTGAACACTTTTACTATAATTTTGTGTGTTTATGCTTGTTTGTCTTTATGTATGATGTAGTTAGTTTTCTGTCGACTCATATTTTATACGCCGTCTATTTCTATTTAGACAAAGAATCTCCTCAATTATGATGGGTTTTGACTTGTGCTCCAACTTCGTGTTTCCTATGCTTATTCTCTACCCACTTAATCGTCTGGCTATAATTGAATGGATCAAATAAACATATTCTCATTACATTTTGTACTTAGGCTTTATTGATTCAAATTTGTATTAGTGATATGCTGTTGACTAAGTGTTGTGTATAAATTTAGACTGTTGTTAGACACGGGTACGAAAACTTTCTTTCAAAATGATTATCGACAATATATTCGGCAGATTCACATAATGTGACAACCGCCCGATTTTGTAAATAACTGTCATACAATCAACTTAATTTAACTTTACTAATTACTCTTTTAACTATAATCTTGAAGATATATCTCGAAGGTATTCGCTAATGAACAAACGGTAATTATCAGTATATAGTATTTGTACATACTAGTTCAATTTGAGTTAAGTTCTCTGAGCTGAGAGGTTTAATCATGAAACTCATGGTCTTTTTTTGGAGATATTATCAGCACAATCTTCAGATAGAGCATTAAGAACATCTACATATATTACTCACACTTTGACAGATCAAGTATCAATAACGAAATTCAAACTTACAGCCGATCTAACTAGCTATTAGCCACATGTGGAGAAATCCGGATAGTTCACTTTTGCCTAAACGCATATAACGTTTGTCATTCCATCTCGTTGTAATAACTATTCTGTTGGGCTTAGTAAATTTCAGTATGGGTAAATGTTTTATCAGTTAATGAACGACCTGTTTTTTTGCAAACTTAAATCTTTGCAACATCAGTCACGAATCATAATTTTTCTCTTGTTCTAATTTGTATCAGTCAAATTCCGTTGCCTATCAAGGTGCAGTTTATTCACTTTTAATAACTCGACACCGATATTTTTTGGTTTTTGTATTTTGTTTACGACGAGCAAACCCATTCTTAGCCTAAATTATTGAGATTAAGAATTAATAGTTGTCCATTTGCCATAGATTAGTGTATTTTACCTGGTACCTTTAAAATATTCCTAAATCAGTCTAAAGTTTACAAATCTCAAAACTAAATTGTATTGCTTTTCTTGCCATCATATTGTTATTTACTTCAGCCTCATCAATTTGAACGTGGTGGTGGTACAATGTGTATAAAAGATCAAAAACTATGGCAATCATTTTATCATTTAGTTCAACGTGTAGAAGAATGCTCAAGAACTGATTACACTTTTGTTACTACCCATTTATTTAAACGACTATGGACTTTGATTGAAATTGTGCAGTTTTTTTATGCATAAACTAATTAACTTATGATGCTTAGCTTTGTTCAGTGTTTTTCTTTTTCTAACTTGTTTATTTTATTTGTCATTTTCATTCTTTCAAAAATTTATTTTGTCCTAGTTTTTTTATTGCGACTACTTTTATATGATTACTGAACAAAATGTTATCTCTAAATGATTATTTATTTAAAATTGATATCATGAATGAATGTTAGACAATCATTGAAAACCTGGAAGCATTGGACGGCTGTTTCGTCCTAGCACGGAACTCCTCGATAGTACGATCATTTATTTACTTATTTCTTTGTTGACAATTTAAATGAATCACAGAAACTTATTTTACCAGTCTAGAAAAAACGGCTAAGAGTTATCGGTTGATTGAATATTGAAGTTTTGTTTTTAAGTAAAACTAATGCCCTGAAATGATGTGCCTGCTTGTAGTTGTCAAGTGTTTTAAAGCTGTTTGAAGATATCAAGACAGAAATAAAACGATGTAAAGATGGGTCACAATGTAAACGCAAAATGAATCGATATTAATTCGATAGAAAGGTTATTTAAATATTGGAATTACAACTCCCGATTGTAGTGGTTCATGGTGGATAAGGCAAAAATCAGCTGTAGTCCATGAGAATAAACAAAGACTAATTATCGACTAGAATAAGCAGTTCGAACAAATTTTCAGGAGTTTATAGATGAAAATGAGAGAGGGCTCTTAAGGTGCTGACATAATTCCTACGGGACCGAGTAATGAGAATCTAGAAAAGTCGGCAGCCTGCTTGAATATCTGGGCTACCTGTTCCTGCCATTTCAACAAGTTACCTGTTTTCTTGTTTGTTTTAACAAATCATTATGTCTATTGAGCGCACAGCTTATTCAGGGGCGTTTATGAAAAGTTTGTGACAATTAACTGTACAGGTTACGAAAAGGCACAGTCAGTGACATCATGGTGGCTGGTAATATGTATTGAAAAGAACGAACATTATTCAGATGTCGATTCCCGAACATATAACTGGCGATCACTCAATATTTCTCGTCAGGATCGATCAAGAAATAAGAATAGGAAACTTGTTGAAATACCTTACGCTCAGAATTCCATATTGTACCAAAAATATAATATTGGATAAAGCTAATAATAATACAATATAATTTAGTCATAGTTTAACTAATATCCTCCCTGTTTAGTTGCAATTTGATTGGTTGAATCCCGTAGAGAATGGATGATCAGAATACTAATTTTATAAAAAGTTTGTCTCTTCCATACGTAGTAACAGTGAATAGTGGGATAGTATACTGTTCAAATAGTTCAATTAAACCCATCTCGTTTCACATACTCTACAAGAAAGCATTTGAATAAGCGTTTGTTGTAGACTATCGATTATCATCGAATACCGAAGGATATATTCTCATAGAACAAAACATTCCAATCATGAAAAATGACTCAGTGTAATTTTACTAATTAAAGATATAAAAGTTTCAATGACTTGCAGAACTATTAATTTATTTTGTTATACTCTAAATAAAATAATAATCGTTACTGGGCTCAAACAAAGAAGATTGGAAGGCATAATGCTGGGAAATAAACATCTTAAATTAAAATTACCAAGTATGGGGGTAAGATAAGGTTGCTTACTCTCCCCTTTTCTCTTCTGATGGTTGGATGGATTATGAATACCTCCACACCCGAGGGAAAGCACGGAATACTATGGGTAGCTCGCATGCAACTAGACGATTCGGACTTCGCAGATCATCCAGTTCTTCTATCCCATACAAATGAAGGCGAAGATAGTCAGTGTAGCTGCAGCCTCTGCATCAGTAGACGACAACATACACAAGGGAAAAAGCAAGATCTTGGAATTCAACAGAGAGAACACCAACCCAATCACACTTGATCGAGAAACTCTGGAGGAGGTGGGAACCTCAACGTACCTGAGAAGCATCATCGATGAACAAGGAGGATCTGATGCAGATATAAAGGTGAGGATTGAAAAGCAAGAACCTCATTTCTACAGTTAAAGAACATTATCGAGCTCAAAACAATTGTCAATAACAATCTTCACTACGAACGTTAACACAGTTCTGCTGTACGGAGCTGAAACTAATACAACTATCATCAAAAAAGTACAAGTGTTTACAAACAATTGTCTACGCAAGATACTCAACATCTATTGGTCGGATACCATCAGCAACAACCTAGTCTACTGTGGGAGAGAACAAACCAGCTTCCAGTTGGAGAAGAAATTAGGAAAAGACGTTGGAGGTGGATAGGATATACACTGAAGAAATCATCAAACTGGAACACGAGGCAAGCGCTTAGTTGGAATCCTGAAGGGGAACACCAAAGACCACATTGCACCGCTAGTTGGAAGAAATCAAAAGGATGAATAGTAACTACAAAGGATAGACAGAGTTCGATGGAGAATGTTGATGTGCGGCCTATGCTCCTCCACGAGGGGTAATCGGAGTAAGTATTATCAAGCATGTGGACACGGAACTACGTTTCTTCTCTTCGCATAAGCTAGATTGATTTGACAACTCGAAAATACATATATAGTGTCTTTTTATGAACAAATTTTGATTTACAAAATGAAATCTAGACCACCGTTTAAAACCTGGAAATACTGGACGGCCGTTTCACTTTAATATGTGACTCAGTAGTATGCATCCAAGACCCTACCACACGGGATTCGAACTTAGGATTTATCAGTCTCGCGTGCGGTCGCTTAACAACTAGACCACTGAGCCAGCATCTAACGGTGTTAATGTGTAACTTCTAACAATCCAGGAATTTGCGTCACCACCCACCATGGTGGTCTAGCTCCAATTGACTCATGAATTCAACTATTAAACTACTATGATATCCACAGAATCCCTCTCTGATTAAAATCAAGTCTGTCATTTTAATTGGGAGATATTATCAGTATTAAATATTTTCCCTATAATATGCTTACAGTTTAGTATGTGAGAAAATATAGAGTACAAGATAACAACAATCCTAATTCAATTTAAGAACAGAAATTTTATAATCATAAAATTATAATGATAAAAGCAATCACAATGTGTTATACGAAATTTATATTTATAAACTGAATATTCAACAATACAAACAAAAGTGGTGTCTTTTCACACACACACAAAGGAAGAAGAGATACCTAAAAAGTGGATTTCCAAAAATAGTTTATTTTAATAAAATAAAAAACAAATTACTTTAATGTATCTGTTGAAACGTTATGATATTTGATCAATATTGTATAATGAAGATGTACATTATGAAAATTTCAATAATTGAGATCATGAGTCAATTGAAGCTAGATCACTATGGAAAATCTAGAAGCATTGGATGGTCATTTCCACGTTTTCTATGATAATCTAGCATCAATTGACTTATGATAGCAATGATTGAAATGACTATAATTCTGATACAAAATAAATTGTGTTAAATCCAATTTGGTAAAATACAATCAGATCGTTGTTTTACATTAACTTGTAAATTATCACAAAAATTTGATGTTAATGGTAAACATGTAAAATAATTACAATATCGACAATTAATAATTGGACCCCATATAAACATAAGAATTAAACCAATACATAATATTAACCATAGAATGGAACATAATATAATAATAAAACAACGATGATTACATTTAGAATTTCGTTGTTGTAATTGTAATTGTTGTTGAAGATATTGTGGATGCATAGAGGAATGATGTTGTAATGATGTACAACTTTTACGATTTATATCAGATAAATTGAAATTAAATAGAATAGATGGTGTTGTTGGTGATGTTATAGGTGTATTATAATAATTATTATCAAATATATTTTGATTAACTGATGTAGCTATGGATGCACTAAGAGATACAGGTGGATAAATGAAACCACGAAATGGTAATAAAATAAATGATAATAAAATACCAGATAGAAAACTACCAGCATTTGCATAATTATCAATCCATGGTAACAAACCAAATGTGAATAATATAAATACCAGTAAAATATTTCTTAGTAATGCATACCATGGATGTGCTAAACAATTCCAACAATGTATAAAATCAACTAAAGTGACACCAAGTAAAGCGAACTGTGCACTTGTAGGTCCAGTTTCTACCTAAAGAAAAATCCCCGTGGTACAAAAAAACAAACAATCAAAATGAACTAAACTGACTGGTTTATCAATAATAGTGTTAATAATAATGAGTTTTTTTAAGCGAAATACACCTCTAGATTGAAAACAAATTGAGTGCGCGAATGATTTTGATAGAAGCAAAATACTTCAGAGAAAAGTGGATCGAAACAATCTGAATAAATAAAATGATGTAGTTGAGTTCGCCACACTTTGGCAACTGTTGATTTTTACTTACTTACTTACGCCTGTTACTGCCAATGGAGCATAGGCCGCCGACCAGCATTCTCCAACCCCACTCTGTCCTGGACCTTCCTCTCCAGTTCTATTCAATTTTGTTCATTCTTCTCATGTCTGTTTCCATTTCTCGACGTAATGTGTTCTTTGGTCCTCTTCTTCTCATTTGGCCATGAGGATTCCAAATGAGGGCTTGCCTTGCGACGCAGTCGCGTGCTTTCCTCAATGTGTGTCCTATCCACTTTCAGCACTTCTTCCTCATTCCTTCCTCCACTGGTATCTGGTTTGTTCTCTCCCACAGTAGGTTGTTGCTGATAGTTCCTGGGCAACGGATCCGAAGTATTTTGCTTAGACAACTGTTAATAAACACTTGTATCTTCTGAATGATGGCTTTCGTAGTTCTTCAAGTTTCCGCCTTAAACAGTAGAACTGTCTTGACATTTGTATTGAAAATCCTGACCTTGGTGTTGGTTGACAGTTGCTTTGAGCTCCAGATGTTCTTCAGTTGTAAATATGCTGCTCTTGCTTTGCCGATCCGCATTTTCACATCTGCATCAGATCCACCCTGTTCATCAATGATGCTGCCCAAATACGTAAAGGTTTTTACATCTTCCAAATCTTCTCCGTCAATTGTGATTGGATTGGTGCATGCTGTGTTGTATCGGAGAATCCTGCTTTTCCCTTTGTGTATGTTGAGACCTACTGCTGCTGAGGCTGCTGCCACGCTGTTTGTCTTCTGCTGCATCTGTTGTTGCGTGTGGGATAGAAGGGCCAGATCGTCTGCGAAGTCTAGATCATCCAACTGCATCTTAGACGTCCATTGTATCCCGCGCTTCCCTTCAGACGTTGACGTCTTCATGATCCAGTCGATCACCAGGAGAAAGAGAAACGGTGAGAGTAAGCAACCTTGCCTAACACCGGTCTTCACTTCGAACGACTTTGTCAACTGTCCTCCATGCACAATTTTGCAGTGTAATCCATCATATGAGTTCTGTATGATATTGACTATCTTCTGAGGCACGCCGTAGTGTCGAAGAAGTTTCCATAGTGTTGTTCTGTCCACGATGTCAAATGCCTTTTCGTAGTCAATGAAGTTGATGTAGAGTGATGAATTCCATTCAATTGATTGTTCCACAATGATCCGTAGAGTTGCGATTTGGTCTGTACACGATCTATCCTTACGGAATCCTGCCTGTTGGTCTCGAAGTTGGGCTTTGATGATCCTCGGTCCATGAGATTCCCATCCTATAAGTGCATTTTGCGCTTGTTTGGACAGCATCGATGCAACTCCTTGTGTATGTGGTGCATTTCTTCTTCATGGCCGGAGTATAACAGGAGCTCTCCTGTAGTTAGTCGTTGTTCTCCAACTTGTGTCCAATGTGTTTCACTGATCCCAAGTACCTCTAGGTTGTATCTTCTCATTTCTGCAGCAATTTGGAAGGCTCTTCCGGTGTCCCACATTGTACAAACATTCCATGTACCTAAATAAATGGTTGCTCTGTTTGTCAGAAGGGGCATCGGCCACGTAACTTCCGAAGGAATTCGGCTTTCATCATGAGGCGTCATAATTCCTCTAAATGAAGACCTTCTGACTCCCAGGGCAGAGTTTAAAAGGTTTGAATAATTTTTTCTGGTTAGCGTTTGTTTAGCGAGTTAGTTTTCTACGGGATGGGGACGCTAACCCCATGCCCAACCCTCCTCCTTTATCCGGGCTTGGGACCGGCAGTAGCCCCCGGAGGGACTCCAGGCGGAGTTAACTGTTGATTAGGGAATAAAAATATATTTCTATTAATACAACCCATCAAATGATTCCAAGAACAATTGGTGCTCTGCTCTCGCACACGCAGCAACAAATGGAGAAGACGACCAGTGTAGCAACAGCTTTAGCAGCAGCAAGTCTCAACACACGCAAAGGGAAAAGCAAGATTCTCCGATACAACACAGCATGCGCCAATCCAATCACAATTGACGGAGAAGATTTGGAAGATGTAAAAACCTTTACGTATTTGGGCAGCATCATTGATGAACAGGGTGGATCTGATGCAGATGTGAAAATGCGGATCGGCAAAGCAAGAGCAGCATATTTACAACTGAAGAACATCTGGAGCTCAAAGCAACTGTCAACCAACACCAAGGTCAGGATTTTCAATACAAATGTCAAGACAGTTCTACTGTTTAAGGCGGAAACTTGAAGAACTACGAAAGCCATCATTCAGAAGATACAAGTGTTTATTAACAGTTGTCTAAGCAAAATACTTCGGATCCGTTGCCCAGGAACTATCAGCAACAACCTACTGTGGGAGAGAACAAACCAGATACCAGTGGAGGAAGGAATGAGGAAGAAGTGCTGAAAGTGGATAGGACACACATTGAGGAAAGCACGCGACTGCGTCGCAAGGCAAGCCCTCATTTGGAATCCTCATGGCCAAATGAGAAGAAGAGGACCAAAGAACACATTACGTCGAGAAATGGAAACAGACATGAGAAGAATGAACAAAATTGAATAGAACTGGAGAGGAAGGTCCAGGACAGAGTGGGGTTGGAGAATGCTGGTCGGCGGCCTATGCTCCATTGGAAGTAACAGGCGCAATTAAGTAAGAATGATTAGTGTTTAATTATGTAGCCATTTAATTTTTTGAATTAATGTCCGACTAGTTCATAATTCATTATCCGACTACCCTAATTTAATATATACTTGCTAACCCTAATTTATTCATTTGTACTAGTAGTTAGTAATAAATAAAATAATTTGTTTATCTGGGTCATGGTTGCGCACGATGAAACTTCTGTATCTTGTCATATATTTCCATAACCTTGCTGTTTGTTATAACACAATACGTTTCAGTCAGATTAATGATGTATTCTTCATTTGAATATGTTTAATATGTGTTAGATTAGTCATTTTAGGTGGGTGACATTCATATATGTCATTCGTCCATAGGAAGCATAGTGTCACATATGTGTGGCCGGGTTAATTTTAAGTTAGCTAATCGAATTCTCATTAAAATTGTAAGTATGAAGTCGATAGGTTTAGTGAACAATTTTAAAATCATTACTTGAGTAACTGTTGTGATATTTTAGGTTAGAGCAGTTAACGTTTAAAACTCCAACCGCACATCTCTCCGTCAATTAATCATACGCTTAGAAGTACGATCCATAGTTCATATGGCAACACAACCTACACCTCATTATACGATATTCTGTACATCTCCAAGTCATATTGTCATTAATTACTTCCATTTTCTAAAGGAATAGAACAACGTAATATCAAGAAATCAATTACCTCGTTAATGTTTACATATTCTAACTCCATTCTGATGAAGTAAAATAAATATAATCTGGGATGTCAATTCGTTGCCTCATTTTGAACTCATCACATAATTGATTTTTTTTAAAAACTAATAGATAGAATCGGTAGTGGATTTTGTGGATATTATAGTAATTTTAATAGATCATGTGTCAATTGAAGCTAGACCACCATGGAAAACCTGGAAGCACTGGATAGCCGTATACAGGTTTTCCATGGTGGTCTAGCTTCAATTGATCTCAACCATTAAAATAGATAGAACTTTATTTTACAAACGATTACATTTTTAATACAATTAATTAGTCATAATTCTATTCAATAATGTTTATAATTTTAGTCACCTAAAATTACTGAAGAAACTCTTCTGTTGGAACTCCAACACACAAACGTATTTCTCAAGAAAATCCATCCCATGCTATTCGAAAGAGATAAGATCAAATAATTAAGGTAAAAGGTACAGCAAATTGTTACCGAATTTGAAAAAAATTCACCTTATTTATTGGGAATAAGCTTTTAATTTAACGTTTAAAACTACATTTTTGTTTGGTCATAAAAGCGAACGGATAGACAGTTAAACTGACCAAATTTCATATCCTTAGAAACTTTATTCTTTTTTTTTTGGTTGGTAGATAGCTATCATGATAGAATGATTTAATGTTCATTAAATAATCAGAAAGCTCACTTATAAGTGAAGGGATTAGTGATATGGTCAATAGGGATAACAGAAGTTTCGGAATTAAACACTACCAAAAGCATCTACTAGAGCAACAAATCCTCTTCAATGTTTATTTAGATTTAATCATTTTAAACAAATCTAGGTTTACATCCATTTATTAATCAAATCAAATGACTTACTTGATATGGTAAGAATATTCCAGATGTTAAGCTTCCAATACAACCGGATAAAATATACACTAAAGTGATACGATGCCAACCAATCATTTTTTCCAAGTCTCGCATAAAAATCATTTGAACACCAAGGGACAAGATTAAATGTAATACACTAGAAAAAAATCGATAGCACATGGATGGAAAAAGTATTCAGGAAGAAACTGACATTTTTTTACTTCGGTAAGTCATTACGTGATATAATTGTATCGAACACAGTCCCAAACAATCATTAAATTTCACAGTTCGGACGGTGAATGACCAATGTTTTCAGTTTGGAAGAATCATGATTTTGCTTACCATTGAAAGGTAGATCCTGATGCTATTAAAGCTTACCAAGAGTAAAACTACGGTCTACAATTTTTGCTCAGAGGATTTGGATCATGATGTCACATTAAGATAAGACGGCTGACTCGCTTTTTTTATTACGTTTTCAGTTTGCATGCCTATGCAATTGATTCTTATCAATCCGACTTCATATTTGCACACTATTATGAATAAAGCAAGTTAAAGCAGTCAAATGTAACATCAATCTGTCTATTTTGTCTAGTGAATAAAACTATGTTGACTGATTTATATTTTTTTATTTAGTCACGAGTTCTTTGGAAATAATAATTGTTAGGTGATCAGAGGCAATCAACAGAAAATCCTAGACAAGGATCTCGTGTTAGCTGGCAATCATAAGCTTTTATGCATGACATCTTATCAATTTGGATGTTGTTCTTCAGCTGATTTGAGATAAACAGCATTTATTATGAAGTATGCAGATGTTTTTTTTCTCAAAGACAAACTCCCCAACAGTGAGTAATCCGACTAGAAAATCGAACCCAAACATACAACCCAGGTTATTATTCCATTGTTCACATCTATAACTTTAATTAGTTTACGATGCAGAGAGAACGCCGTCCAGTACCATTGTGGTGTGTGCTACTGATGTCGACAGATATAAGTAGTATGTATGATCGATCGAAAGTGAAATGTCTGGCGGCAGAAGGTCAAGGAGATCAAAGAAAAGAGAATGAAAACAGAGATTGATTGGTGTGGAAAGGAAGGAACAGTAAAGTCTGAGACGATTGACTGACATTTTGCAAATGAAGAATCTATTGCATGGTTCTCAGATTTTGTTAAGAGATTCTGTAATTTTGTGTTCAAATACATTTGGTTGTCCCCACTCGTGTTCGCGTTCACTACAACATTTGTGATATGTCTCTTACCTAAGTTGACTGAACCCCAATGGTCACAATTTCTTGCTGGAACATAAAGATAACCGAGAATGTATGACAAAATAGTCGCTTGGAACATTCCAATTTTCAATGATTCCTCAGCTGGATGTCAGTTCTTGATAGAAAGTATTTTCATATCATACATATATAGTTATACGGTTTAAATACAATTCTGTAATTTGAAAGCAAATAATGACGATAAAACCCTACCCAGCATGGAGAAATAGTGAAGTGAATATTCGATACATTTGATTTGGGTATTCATTATTTATGAAAGGTGACATACCACAAATTTGATTTAAACAATTCACCTAAAACCAGAAAAACAATCGTAATTAATATTAGTAATAACTAAACAGATCAGTAAAGAAATTCAACTTATGAGAATATGGGTGTAGATAATTCTTATATGAACAAAAGAGAAAATAAACCCAGCTACCATGAAAGAAGTGAAGAAAAGTCAGGCTAAAAAAGTTAGGGAGACATAGAAGACACTCAACGAATAATGAATTACAACCTCACTGATCAGCTTTTCATTTTTAAATGAAACAGTACGAAAAACTCAGCATTACGCATTTAATAATTTCACTAGATGTAAGGAACATTTGTAGACACTTTTAATCAAATCATTACAACCTACGCGAGTTTTCGCTTTCATCAACCATATCCCACAGACTTAAAGCAATACGAGTGGAACAGCTTCTTCTTTACGACAAACAGCCGATTATCTCGCCTGTCCCAAAGATGGTGCTATATTCGTAAATAAAAAGCAAGCTTCTTAAATCTCTGTCGAGTTACATCACATCAAAAAATAAAATGCTGGGCTAACCTATTCCCAACAGTCAAAATATGCGTTGACATAGATCAGTCCTGAAGTAATATTTTGTACTCAGTGAAGAAACAAATCTCAAATATTCTTACATTGTTACAATGTATGGGTGAGGGGATAAAACGGAACAATTTTACTTCTCAAAAATAAATTTTCATTATTATCAAGTTGAATTTATTTACTTGTGAACATAGTGCAGCATTTGGATAATAAAAGCCTCGAACAAAATCACAATGTTCTTGTGTAGTCATAATGCATTCACCTTTTATGCCCAAACAACATGGATGACCAGTTACTTGACATTCCATATGTGGTGCATAACCACCCATATTTGGTACAGTATCAGGTAATTCACAAATCTAAAATGAACAAAACATTCATAGTACATTCATGAAAACAGTAATATTTACTCGAATTATAATATTCAAAACTGTTTAATACAGAGATATGAATTGACAGTAAACGGCTAATAACTGTTGTTTTTAGTTCTGTAAATAGAATTGTGTAATAAATGTACAGATATTTGTTCGTAAACTGGCTAGCAATAACTAATGAGAAATAGATAGCCAAATGTGGATCATAGTTCAAACTGATGATCCAATTCATGAACCATAGTCCTTACAGCAAAGTTACAAATGTGTTAGGTAAGATCATAGGGACAGTGGAACTGACTATTTGAATTTAGATGATAAGATACAAAACTGACCTCAGTAGTACACATTCGTCTACTCGAATCATTGGGAAGCGAAATAGTTTCATAAACTTAACAGAAAATATTTTCACAGTTAATGACACCATATCGATGTTTTCAGGTTTATCATTGCCACCAAAAGCTTCAATGACTAGTTAATTCAATATTTGATGACTTCTATCAAATGGAAAAAACTATCTTTTCTAGCTCATCTGTTAATTTCCAATGCATTAAAATACAAGACAAGTCTGAATGTGAATAAAATTACTTTCAAGTTAGCATAATCATCAAATAATGACAAGAATATAAATCCAAGTCCTCGTATAAATTTTCTGTAGTAGACTGAGTAGTTCAAATGCTACTGCTTGGAGAGGGTTCGAAAGCGTTAAGCAATGATTGAATATCAATGTTTCGAACCACTGAGTTTGAACTCCAGACAAAATATACATAACTACATTTTTAAACTTAGCTGACATAATGGATATGGACATTTGACTTTCGATTATTTTGTCCCTGGGTTTAAATCAACTATTCTTCCGCTTACTTTGATTCCAGTAGATGGATAGTATTAATAAAAAGTGGTATTTACTGAGGACTTTAAGCACACTGACATATTTTCTTCAGTCGGTCGAATGTAAACTATTTGGTACCACTTATTGCTTCCAAACATCTGAAACAGAATACAACGTATTGCAGTATGATGCTTTTCCACGAATGGTTGTATCGTATTCATTAGTTGATAGGTAGAGGATTAGTCAGTTTGTCATTGTCTTGTGAATATTGGGTGTCGTACAGAACCTATATTTAAAAGGGATTAACGGGGTATACGGAGTAAAAAAAACAGAAATCGACAAAATATGTTCACATTTACAGGCCATTTAGTAACATCTGTCTCGGACCAAGCAAATGCTCCAATAGAACGTGGTCGAGCACAAAAATCTGGATCTAATCCACATACAGGTCCAGCTTGACCAACAAGTCGTGTTGAACGTAGAGAATGTATAATACTTGATATATTATTATTATGACTGTGAGAATTATTTTCAGGATGAGAAGCCTTCAATATATGTACGTGAATTTCACGATCTGCAATATTAGTCGAAAGTAGTTCTTTAGTTTGTGGCCTACTGAAATTAACTGTTTCATAATGAAGCCATGTAGCTAGTGTACGAGAGCATACTTCTCTATGCGTCTGATAACAACCACCACCATCATTACGAATACAACATCCCGAACTATAGAAGAAAAGTGAAGAAAAAAATCAACTCATACATAAACACCTAAGTAAATACACATTATGAAAATTATGGTATTTATGTCACATAATCTACTACTTCACGGTTATTTTTATTTCTAACATTCGGATCAATCGAATTAGGCTGAGGAACATGATAAGATTGGATACTAAGGTGCATTGTCAAATGAGTAAACAATGATCGAGAAATTAATATACGGGAGATAACTTTAGTTAAGTGAATATTATACATGCTCACTATAGCTTACCAAACCTATATATAAGTTCAGTGAAGGGATCTCTTGTCAACGAATTTATTATCAAACTGTACAATCGTATAAATTCCATGAGGAAATGTGAACAAGGAACAACCAAGATGATGTAATAGAAATATTACAATACTAGATTACGTAGTACGAATAATAACAATCGACTTAATAAGTTAGTAACGAATTATAACGTGTCAAATCACAATCAGTATAATAGGCACTACTCCATATCATTCTGACCTTTATTGAATGACCTTTCTAATTTACAAATAACACAATTTTGAAGTGTATATGTCGCAATAGATGTAAAAGTTCACCATTTTCAACATATAACATTATTAAATCCATTAATGCATGGTGTACTTTGACCTTTGTAAAATAACAAAATTGTGGACTTATAACTGTAGAACCTGATGATGAAGTTATTGAAAACAATTGTTCGCTCAAATATTCTTAATTTTTTGAATATTCTATAGGGATTTTTAACCTAAAATAGTTTTACTACTGCATTCACCTACAACTTCCTTTAACATCATAACAAGGCGATTAATAGGGGAATATGACCATTCTATTACATTTCGTACAGTCAGAGATCAGTTAATATACAACATTTAGGATTTCGCTAAAATGGTTTTTTAAATTACATTTCATGGGTAGACATTTTTAAAATCTAATGATTGAATTCATGACTTGATCTAAGCTAGACCACCATAGAAAACCTGGAAGCACTGGACGGCCGTTTCGTCTTAGTATGAGACTGTTCGACAGTGCACACCCACGATCACGCACTCGGGACTCGGACCCAAAACCATACATAATGATTCCGTATTTATGGTCTATCAATAACAATTGTGGGTTAAAGTTTAATAAACCAAGTAGAATTATTTTTACCAACCTTGCTGCTTAACTAAATTAAGTTGTAATGCTTATACAGTTTAGAATTTATAGAAATACTTACAAATTGTTCAATTATTAAATGAAGAAACTTACGCACGATCAAATTTCTTTTGACGTTTAATCACTGAATTATGTAATACTGGATCGAATCGCATACAAGGCGGAAAACGTGCACCTAATCGGACTAAATCTGTTTGCCTTGGACCTATCCATAAATTTTCATATTCTATCCAACAAACTTGATCAATAGTCAATGTGGGCAGTAACACTTTGCCAACAATACGTGTAGTTATCCCCAAACCAATTGGTGCAAATCCGTAACCGATTGAACCAGCAATAAAAATCAATATATGAATAAATGATATCCAATATGTAAAATATGGTCTACATTTGAATATTGTTTGTTTTCAAATTAAATAAATAAAACAAAATTATTCATAGAATAGTGAAAATATAAGTGAAGATCGAAAACTAAAAAAACGACCTAATTAAGATTATTTTTACAAAAAAAAATTGAGAAAACCTAGTAATAGAGTAGTAGAAATAAATTTAAATAAATAAAAGTTAGGTACTCTCTGAAGAAGTGTCTTACACTGAATCGCGAAACGTCAGATGTGATACTATTATATCGTTATCTTACTACTGACAATCTACTCAATGATCAGTATACTTGGAATCATTATGTCTAACCTTGGTAATGATAGCTATAAACTCACCAAGATTTAAGTTATTGAATTGTGTTCTGTATCATCAATATATATATTGTAATAATTTCAATAGTTGAGATCATGAGTCAATTGAAGCTAGACCACCATGGAAAGCCTGGAAACACTGAAGGATTAATAACTATCCCTTTTTAACTTGATAATTGATATGGACCCCATCAATGTATTATCTTCAAATTCTGGGAACCATATAGTTTTCTCAAGTTACTTATTCTAGAATAGTGGTAAAATGTCAATCTCAGCAAAATTTGTAGAACATACTAATAAAGAGATCCTTCTCGTACACAATGAAATCAGATGAGGTTATTTCGAAGTGGAGTTTAATTAATAATTCATTGTTGAATATACCATTATACTAATAATTATTAATTCAGTTCAGCCTAAAATTCAGGGATCTTAACAATTTATATTTAGTGAGAATAAAATCTGAGATTTCAAGGAAAACAAGCTGACCTAAATTATTCAATCAATAATGACAGAAACCATACTCTTACGAATAACAAAATATGCACACAGTCGAGATCAATAAAGACAACTTACCTATACTCTATATATTCAGTTGTTTTATTACGAAAAATATCTTCTGTAAAATTATCTTTATGCGGATAGATAATTGCTGAAGCCCAACGTGTTGGAGTCAATAAGCTTTCAGTTAAACGCCTTGAAAGAGATGGAATTACTACTGGAGTGGGACGAAAATTTATCGGTGATACTGTGGTACTTGGTCGTGGGCGATTTTCTCCGATTATTTCTCGAGCTAATAAAGAGAAACAAACAAATCAAACCACAGATTTAATGTTTAAAGCGAAGTTATGGGTAGAAAGGTATTCATTCAGTCCCTTGTCAACTTTACCACACTTGACTTTTACATATTGCTAACGTGAACCTTTTTATTTCATAAATATCATAGCCAAAACTCAAGTTGATAACTTGAAATACATTGAACACTAGGTTGGCTATGTTTATAATAAAAATGACCTATTTGTGATAATCCAACTTTCAATATTTCGTAATTTTGTAACAAAGTGTATCAACGCCAACGACCGTTTTTGATCACTTTTTCATCAGGCTCTGTGTTGTAATAAATTCGAAATTTCACAGGTTGAAATCATTCAGAAGATACAAGTGTTTATTAACAGTTGTCTAAGCAAAATACTTCGGATCCGTTGCCCAGGAACTATCAGCAACAACCTACTGTGGGAGAGAACAAACCAGATACCAGTGGAGGAAGGAATGAGGAAGAAGTGCTGAAAGTGGATAGGACACACATTGAGGAAAGCACGCGACTGCGTCGCAAGGCAAGCCCTCATTTGGAATCCTCATGGCCAAATGAGAAGAAGAGGACCAAAGAACACATTACGTCGAGAAATGGAAACAGACATGAGAAGAATGAACAAAATTGAATAGAACTGGAGAGGAAGGTCCAGGACAGAGTGGGGTTGGAGAATGCTGGTCGGCGGCCTATGCTCCATTGGCAGTAACAGGCGTAAGTAAATTATAGTCAGTAGTTCAGCATGAGAAGTAAATTAAGCTTGGGTTAATGGACACTAAAATAACGGTCGTGGTTGCGCACTGTTAAGTCCCATATTAAGACGAAACAGTCATTCCGTTAGGGAACGACGAAGCTACACAATAGATTACTCAAAATGATTCGCTTTTATCTACCACATGACCATTGTCAACTAAGTGTCATAAACTGCCTTAACTGGTTTAATATTTTCAATTATCCATGTCTATTAGAGTAAAGCCTGATGACGATCTAACTGAATGGTTCGCTTATAAATCTTGTTCTAATATACATGGTGGGAATTTTCTAAGTATCTTGATGATATTTTTATAAGAAGCTAACATATTTTATTTTGGTGAGAGAGGGAAAAAATTGATAACAGATATTACCAATCCTGAAAATAAAAACACTCACTGGTAGAACTACTGGAATGTTGAAAAAATGAATATGCAGCAGGTAGATCAAATGATGACGGACTACATTGGGAAATAATAACATTATCATTATGACCATCGACAATATCATTTGATTTCTGTTGCTCCATCGAAGCATCATAACTGATTATATCATTATGACTGTTATCATTAACAGTATTAACACTAGTTTCACCACCGACTGGTATTGTTGACGATACAGCTAGAAATGGTGTTTCTTCATTTTTAGCATCTTTAAGAGCTACCCACTTATCATTGTTAAAATGAGTATCTGTTGTATCTAATAAGAATATTCTACCAGTTGGAGCTGAATGAAAGCGTTCAAATCCAGTGTCATTAACCTATAAAGAAGAGAAATAGTTTAGAAAAAAAAGAAAAATACATTATAAAATACCCTATAACAAAATAAATATGTTTATCCCACTGGAGGACACACTCACTCACAACTCAATTGTTCAACAGTATACTCAGCTGACATTAGTCTATTCTGTCTATTTATCAAATAAATATTCACAAAATCTCCGATCAAGATGTAACGTTGTGCTTACTAGAGACTTGCTTCTAGGTGAACCTCTCAAGTTCTAGTAACAAGTCATTATTTGTGGAGTCTAGTCATGTCAGATGTGTGATAAGTACCGTCGACGGTATCAGATGGTCATCGTGCTATATTGTGAACTAGTTGCAGTTGAAAACATTGACCACTTCATTCCGAATCAGTGGGCTGAAGGTTAGGTGGTTTCCATGGGATTTGATGGTTTTAAGTTAGGTTCCGGATGGAACTTCATGCTATGAGAACATGCATAAAGAGTGCATATAGGTAATATTTGATTGTAATCAAACTTGCAAAGAAACGATTGGTTACAAGTTCATAAAGAAGCACCTAGCTAACAGCCTATTGACAACGCAATTCTTGATCACTTCTAAGAGAAAACTTAATTCGTACACAAAGCATTTTCCAGCAATCCCAATTCGGTTATCCAAAAATGTAAAGTAAATGTTGTTTACAAATCGATCTATCCAGTTGGAACAATGTTATGGAAATAAATAGACATCAAACATTACTGGATTGAGTGACTACTGCCCTTAACAATCCAAAGCCATTATGATATACAAATAATGAGCAAAATAAATTCTTGTTTCATGGGCAAATTCACTGAAAACCTTTGTTTAGATGATATAATCATTGATCTGATCTCGAGATGGATTTAGTTTATGCAACAATCAGAAAAAGAGTCAAGTCGAAAATCAAACGAAAAGATCACTTGAACTCAATCAAAGCAGTAATTTATTGACTAATCATGTCACTTACTGAGGAGAGCCGATTAACTTATACGTTGGAAGACGGTTGAGCGATATTACGAATCTACTGAAATTAAACATGTAAACCATTGGATGTTTATATAAGAAAATTGTTCGTGAGTTGAAATATGAATTCATTTAATAGACAAAATCTTCAACTCACTTCAATGCCTTCCAACTTTTTACGAGTTCGTAACATTCGACGATTCCACATAGCTGATAGGATAACTTTCATTGCGTGCGGTTTATGAGCAGAAGTTGCAGCAGGTGCAACTGGGAGACTAAAATTCGTGATACTACTCAACTGAAAAGAAATACAAATAAAAAGATTAAGTCAAGACTATACGATCAATTAAGTAAATAAAAGCCTAACAAAATGTGAATCAAACTATCGTTTTTAAAGGATATAGCAGTTATTAAAGCAAAAAAATTGTTTTATTCGTTAGTTATATGATACAAAGCTACAGCTCAACTGTCTAGTTACACGTATAGAGCAATGTTTTATTGATTGTAGAGCTTAGCTCCTAACCAGCAGGCCACAGATCCGAACCAAGCCCCTATTACTTCGGTTTGGACAGCAAGGTATTATTATCACTGGCCTTTATACAAAGAGTTACACAGTATACTGTTTCTATCTATCCAATGAAAAAACAAAAACAAAACTAGTTTCTAAAAAGTTAATCACCTTTGCTTATTGTCCACAAAATCACATTTATTTCGAACATCTGCCATCATGAAAGTTATGAATTTAATGACAATGACTTACTTCACGTAGATAAACCGGTCTCTGAGATTCAATCGGTGGCACGACAGAAGAATTAGCAAAAGAGACCTAAAACATAAAAAATTGGTATAAGATGATATTCATAGATAAGAGACTTAAATGCAAAAAATAGAAAGAAACTTAAATTCTTAGATTTTCATTGTGGCATTTTACAAGATACAATAAATATAAAAGTTAAAATAGTTATTCTGATTTTATGAATTGTATAATCGATTCCGAAAGATTTCTTACTATTCTCTTTTAAAGATATTAGACAGTACTCAAGATTACAGTATTCCAATGAAGCAGTTCCAACGATTTGCAAGTATAAATATCCAAAACTCCGATGTCCTTCCATGTTTTAACAAACAAATTCGTTTGAATAGTTGGAAGACGTTATCTCAGATTTCGGTAGTTTAAAGTTGAATAGGCGTCGTAGAAAGTCGAGAATCATATCAAAACCCAGTGGTAAAATGGCTTCTGCAAACTTTAGCAACTTTGAATCGGATATAGGTTCACTTCCGACGAAATTTACACTGGAACAATCCACTTTTTTCAATTCTCATTGATTTGCAGTGAGACCCGACAATCAAACAAGGGTATAAGTGAGCATCTTATCCTTAGTCGTAGCGTGTTTGCTTCCACGAGCTGTACGTTCCAGCACTTTTTTATTTTCGTTGTTATTAAGGAAATTAAAAGTGATACTTCAAATTTCTTAAACGGTAAGTGTTTATATTTTAGAGTAGAATTTTTTATTTTTAAATCAATCGTTAAATGGTAACTTACGTCAGTATATTCGATTTAATCAGAGAAATAAAGTCACTAATCCTTCAAAAATAGTAACATTTTAAAATAGTTTAACATTGTCAGAAATGCCAAAAAATAGTTATGATAGTCTTAAATATAATAATAATAATAATAATAATAATAATAATAATAATAATAATAATAATAATAATAATAATAATAATAATAACGTACTTTTCGTCTGTTGATAATCTTCATTGGTACAGAATGTGAACTTGAAGCCAGCTGAAATTTTGAAAGGATATGAGACGTAACAACAAAATAAACATGTAATAAAGAATAACTTAGCGATAGTAACTTACACGATGTCTTAACGACGATCTCGATATATCGCATAGAGCTGGAGAGGCAGTCAGCTATAATAAATAATAAAAAAAAGCAAATAGGACATCAAATCAATACTTTCTTAAAAATTCGAAAACATGAGCGCTATTGTGCCGCATTCGGTTATTAATTTTGACAGAATGACATGTTTGGATAATTTTTTAAAAAAAATTTAACTATAAATTGACTGTGAAATTTGAGACATGGATTAGATTTTCTGTTCTTTAATTCAGTAGGTAAACGTAGATGCGTAACAATAATGGTTAATTAACGTCGACAGAATATTTAATCATTTCCCATTAATATCATGTATCAACGTTTTTAAGCGTAATGAATTTGTTGAAATCGTTACACTATAACATGATACTGATGTATAGAAGAGTAGGGTTTTTCTGCAATACAATGACATACTTATATACTAAATATTACCACAAAAATTCACACAATAAGAAGTCATAAGCGATTGCAGAAAATCCGTTCGTAGGTCAATCGCTCTCCAATCAATTAAAACCTGAATGTAAGGTTTAATTCTTAGGCAGCGTATCAATGGTACACATGTCAAATGTATTGTAACGTAACACAGCAACAACTAATTAGCAACTAGTAATTACATCCTTGAGAACAATAGTGATTTCAATAAACTATGATTAACTTACAACTGTTAAACGATCACCTTTTATGCTTCCATAACGTTTTATTAAATACCTCAACCGTCGTTCATTCCAATCCTCAATAGTAGTTTCACGAGAATCAAAGCCAAAAAATGATAAAGAACCATCGATTACTGAATTAATAGGTCTAAAAAATATTGATAGATATCTTAATGCAAAATAGTAATAAAAATTACCTTATCATATTACGACGCGAAACATCCTGGAATAAAAGACTTTGCGTAAAATAAACTATAAACATCAACTACCTTAAAATATTGCGTGTTCTTTCATTTCTACCCAGACTATCAGAATCTCTTCGTGACGTGATCAAAATTAATGTTAATGGTGTAAAACAGCAAACATTGAAATATATGTCAGCTGGTTTGTCTGTGAAGCCAACAAACAACCAATTATATTATAATGAAAGATCATAATAGTTTGAGAATTGAGCAGAAAACACAATATACAAAAACTAGTTTGTAAGATGCTGAAAACCAAAACGTTTATATTCATAAAGGCGAACAGTGGGAGCAATAAATATAAATCGATTTATCCATACCAAAACATGTGATAAGTCACGTTCTTTATTGATTTTTAGTCATATTTCAAAGCTATAGCTATATATGCAAACGGGCTTCCAAACATATGCACACAATCATGTGTATGTAAATTACTTGATGACAAAAATATTTGCTCTATAACAGAACCAAGTGAATGATAAGGTAATTTTTAAAAGATGACTGGCAAAGCTAAAGTAACCAGATTAATTCTACGAACTCATAAAACCACCTTAATAATGTTCTGCCGCTTTTTGAGTATGAGATGAGAAAGTGAGTAGTTCCTAATAAAAAACAAATGAAACCAAAACATATGGATAAAGCATTGAGATTGAAAGTAGACTAAATACTTTCGTAATAGTTTATGAGCTGTCCAGCTAGACGGTACAGCAAGAACCTACGAAGATGGGGATATAAGCTGATGCTTCTGCATCATTTCATTGTAAGCTTCATGACCTTCGGAAAGTCATGGAGTCAGAAACGATCATTGAGGCAGATGACATTAGACCTGAAGTCGGTAGGCCGAGTCAAGCTGGTGAATTAGTCGTGAACAACGTTGAACAAATAAGCGGGTATATTTTCATCCCAACCAACTAAACAGAAAACGGTGACCTACAATTATGATCAAATATCACTTAATATTAAAGTGTCAACGTCGAGCTTGATGTGAGACAAAGTTCAACCGGAAAATCTACAACATCAACACAAAGAGACTATATTCACATCAAATATCGTAAAAAAAGCTTGACAGAAAACTGTTGCATCTTTTCAGCACATGCTTGAATTGCGATCACGCTCTAGTGCGAAGACCTGTTTCCCAGCATTTTCATGAGTGAAGAAAAGTCAGATAAGGAAGAATCAAAAACATCAATTAAGAAACAAATGTTAACGATCTATTAACGAAACGATAGAAAAATACTCAGGTGCTTCACACAAAGTTATGTAAGTGGCATCGTGCTATTTGGTGAAAACACTGGCAAAATGCAGAGTATTCCGATGCATGCATGGGATTTGTTTCTCTCCCTCTTTATGTAGAATTTCGTTTCAAAACACCGATCATACGGACTGAGGAATTTCAACACCTATCTAATTTAAAAGTACCATCAGCCTTGAGAGGTTGTTATCTGGAGAAATCTCGTCACTTATTAAGAAACCTTGTTAGGATTTTGTCAACTTGGCCCATTTTTAATATGACAGAGATGTCCGTCTGCCAATCAAATGGCGTGCGTAATACTTATCAGTCCCATCTATATTAATCTGTGTTTGAAATTTTATCTTTGAAACCAGAGCATATGCGTAGGCTGTGAGGTTCTCATAATACTTGACTTCCAAGCATTTCTCAAATTTTGTGAAACAGGTAAGAAATATTGTGGATAGGCATACTATAAAAAGCAAAGATAGCAAATAGTTTGTCAAAAATTTAAATCGTCACAAACAGTAAGTTCACTGAACAACATTACCGAATATACAGCACAAACTAACTAAATGTGCAAAATTAGAATGCTCACGAAAATATTTACGAAAAAACATGGCGAAACCCAAGAATTCATTGTCTACTGATTCGAGTTACTTTGGTAGACGTTGACTACTTGGTCAGGGTCTGCTTGACAACCGCGATCAGTAGCCGAAGACGTTGGGTGGCACAACTCAGGATTGGTCACAGTGGCACAGATACATTCTTTTTTTTTATCTCCACCCAAGTCTTGACTACCAGTATTTCTTCACATGTATCTTTTCATCACATTCTGTCGAACTATAATATTAATGTTTGGTCTTTCTTATTACAAATTCTAATACATTAACTGCCCTTCTTTGATATTCAATAGTATTTACCTAAATTGATTTTACTGGTATAACTAGTTTAAATACAAAGTCAATTCAATAGTAAACCACTTCTTAACTTGCAAGTATTTACAAGAAAAGATTGTGTTCAGTGAGTATTTAGTTATTCCGAGTGGGAAAGTGGCTTACTAGACAAAGCAACCCTCTGTCAATTTGCGGTCTATAGGTTCAAATGCGAATTAGCGTGCTTTGGTTTGGGTATTCAGGTAGCCTCAGTGGTTCCTACAAAATGGAATTCGATCAAGTATATGAAATGCTATTTTTTTTTACCAAGTTTCACTGGTTAATCATCGATGACAACTACTACGAATCCGTAATAAAGCAACAGCTCTGACTCCAATGACAACTACTCAGACGTTTATCAGGTCACAACACTACTTAAAATAAAGTCAAACTGCTTTAGTTACTACTTTGAAATGTAGGTGATGGTTAGGGAGGTCACAAGTTCAGTTCTTAGTTTCAAACTTTGTATTTTGCTTATCCTAAATTTGATTGTAATTACACCTCAATTTTACAAAAACTCTAACTCTATGGGTTAGTTAGTTAACTCCATGACCTAGTTCCATCCACGAGTTCTGACTTGTTCAGTAAGTCATCTACCTCATATTAATTAACCAACGCTCAACATATCTTAGATTTTCTTACAGGCTACCATGAACATAGAGGACTTATTCATGAAACGAAGACCAATAAGTTTGGAATACGTTCAGTTCTTGTAGGATGATTTATAGATACTGATCACACGTAGGTCTGAAAACTCACCAAGTGTATTTTTAGTCCAAGGTTCTGGGTCGGGAGAATTTTGTGGCTATTTTTAAGTAAATTACTTCTGGAACAACTCCAGGACGAAGACTTTCGAGGTGGAGCACAATGTAAAGATATAGTGACCCTTCACATCTCCTATATGGATGTATTCTAATTGTTGGACAAATATTGATAAATCAGACACCATGTGACTATTGAGTCCGTCTTACACTCCTAATAATTCTATATATCTTACAAGTAATCGTGACTTTCTATATACTTATTTTTGTTATCCATGCCCTTGTTGACTATATTTATGTTACTATATGCGTTTTGTTTGTGTGCATGCCTATTCACCAACTACTCTGTTTGTTGTCCACTTACTAGCCTAAATTACTCTGTTTTACCTAAATAAGGTAAGGCACAGAATTAATTAACGAACTGGTATGTCACCAACCCCAAACCTTCGTTTATTTAGTCGACAATCACAGTTTATCTGTGGATAAGCATGCATGAAATACATAGATTCTACTAAAATCTCGTAATTTTACTTGTGGTATACCGTCGTATAACATGTTAAGTTGTAGGAATATATATAAAGATCAACATGCGACATACAAGTGTGTACACCACCATGATTCACCACCAGTTGGAGTAAAAAAGAGCCAAAACGACCATTTTGAAGAGATTATACGTGCACTTACCATTAACTAACTCTATAAATGACTTAATGAACAACTCAACACATAAGATACTTCAGGTAGCTAGCTTCGATTGGGTTCCAAAGGGCTTTAAAGTTGTGTTAGTTCAGTGTGTAAAATAAACATGAGACACTAAGTAAGTTAGATTATGGCTTGAAGCGTCGAGACTTGTGTTAGGTCTGAAACAAGATATCTTGCCAATAAACCAAAGACTAAGGAACGACGAGACTTATTTATGGACGACGTTTGAACGAATGTTTAGTGACCTTGAGAATATTATTCAATCAGTGAACAGTATGTAGTGGAAATATATTAAACAAAACCAAGGAAATATAATGGATACACTTCTTATACGTGGTTCAAAAACTTGTCGAGTTCAAAAATAGGTTCAGAGGTTCTTAAATGGTAATGCATGCGGTAGAGGAAATCATTCATACGCCAGAGCCATGATAGACCGTCAAAAACTCTTTCAGCCTTGACTACAAAGTTTCATTATTGTTTATGTGCACTTCGGTTGTTCAGTACACAAAATGCTACTTGTGGATGACGACACGATGCACATAACCAAGCCTATGTAGGAGTCTGTAGGCCTTCCAATCTTCCTTATATATTGTAGTATATGCCTGTAGGCAGTATTACTGATACTTTTATTATCCAGTTCGTGATAGTTGTCATAATTTATCTCAGTTAGGAATAATATATGGTGTTTTCATCACGAACTGACATCAGCTGTAATGCCAGAAATATTTTCGGCCAAATGGATGAAAGGCTTTTTTTGTGCTCAAATCCGAGATCTGTTATCTTATGCCTGACTGGTTCGTCCACAGATTATAGTCTCGCCGTTTTATATGATATAGCCGCCTAATTATCACGTTTTGTACAAAATTCCGTGGGAACCCATCGTACGTTAGCACTAAGCACAGAATTTGGCGCCGTAACCTTGAGATCCCTCAGACGTCTCTGACTGTTTAGTCGATATAACAGAGTCTCGTCCACAAAATAGTAAACTACGGTTTTCAGTATTGACACAAAGTAATATGGGTGGGTTATAGTTATTCCCACAATTTAAAGTAATGTGATAAATTAATTTCGTTTTAGAATTATCATTGAGCAGTAGTGATTCAATGTGTAATGTCCAATATCATTGTAACGAGCCAGTTCCAGTCAAATTTATAGTTATTTGTTGATTCGTATATCACACGCTTTGATTATGTGCACCAGTGCAGTTGAGGGCTAGAAAAGCACTCATTGGACTATGATATTAGACATTATACATTGAATCGCTACTGCTTATTGATAATTCTGAGACGAAATTAATTTATCTCATCACTTCGAATTGTGGGAATAACTATAATTCATATGACTTTGTGTCATTAATGCAAACCGTATTTTGTTTACTATTTTGTTTTATGCTACCAATTCACCAGTTAGTGTGATGGCAAATGTTCGGTTGGGGATACAGTTTGTTGGAATTGGACATTTTAGTACTGGGCAACTTTGTGGGCTTTCAATTCGTGATTCTTTACATTACTAAAAGGTGTTATTTTATTTCGATAACGTCTGTCTCTGAATCCTAACAGCCTGAACTCATTTGGAAAGCACGAGTAATTTACCATAGTAACATCTCGCTAGTATATGTAGATTATGAACTTATTTTAATATGTTCCCTATATCTTGATTGCGTGAAACATCATTTGTTTGCTTAGACTGTTGTTATCAGTAGGAAGGTTATCTATTGCGCTTGTTATTCACGATCAATTGCAACTATCGTTCACAAACACTGTTTGTATGCATTTTACAGAAAATTAGGATGAAATAAAGTATCGTCAAAAAAGCCGAGCATATTTCAGTAGTTCCTTAGTCCTTCACTTTGTTTGTGCTGTATGTGGTAAGACTCAGAAATGTGGTTTATTGGCAAGATATCTTGTTTCAGACCTAACACAAGTCTCGACGCTTCAAGCCATAATCTAACTTACTTAGTGTCTCATGTTTATTTTACACACTGAACTAACACAACTTTAAAGCCCTTTGGAACCCAATCGAAGCTAGCTACCTGAAGTATCTTATGTGTTGAGTTGTTCATTAAGTCATTTATAGAGTTAGTTAATGGTAAGTGCACGTATAATCTCTTCAAAATGGTCGTTTTGGCTCTTTTTTACTCCAACTGGTGGTGAATCATGGTGGTGTACACACTTGTATGTCGCATGTTGATCTTTATATATATTCCTACAACTTAACATGTTATACGACGGTATATCACAAGTAAAAATGCAGTTTCAGTTTGGGAAGGACGGGAGGCTTGATGGCCCCTGTTAGTCCTGGCAATGGTGGTCTCTCAGTTGATTCAACTTTCTTTTGAAATAGTCGACGGATGGAGCCTCAACCACGTGTTGAGGTAATGATTTCACTCGTTGATGATTCGATGGGAAAGTCGATAGTCAGCTGACAAGTAATTTGTTCTCGGCTTATGAATTTTTTTGGAGTGTCCTCGTAAATTCTCTGTTTTGGAAGACAAGAAAAATGAGGGCATATTAGGTACAAATTTATCACTAAGCAATTTGTAGACTGTAATCAAGTCGCCTCTAGTTCGGCGATATGACAACGGGGAAAGGTTCAGCTTGGCCAGTCGAACTTCATACGGAAGCTTCGCTATTCCGGGAATCAGCTTAGTCTCCGTTCTCTGAACCTTTTCCAGAAGCTCACTGTCTTTTTTAAGCAGGGGCAAACCGCTTGTATGCAGTATTCAAGTTTAGGACGAACGAACACTGTATATAAAGTCAAAAACGTTTTAGCGTCGACATGACTAAAAGCTCTACGTATTGACTATAAGGTTCTAAAACCTTTGGCAGTTATTGCACGGCAGTGTGCAGTAGTCTTTAGGTCTTGACTAACAATAACTCCTAAGTCATTATATTTCTGGACGACAGGTAGCTCAGTGTTATTCATCGTGTATGTATCTGTGCCCTAATGACCGATATGCATCACAACACACTTGGAAGTATTTATCGGCAAGTGCCATGTTTGAGACCATTCAGATAACTTCTTCAGGTCATTTTGGAGTTCTAAGCTATCACCCTCACATCGTATCGTTCTCCATATCTTGACATCGTCAGCATATAGCAAGACCGGTGATGATAGGTGACAAGGACGGTCATTTACATACAAGAGGAATAGCACTGGCCCCAAAACTGAACCCTGGGGCACTCCACTAAGCACAGTTTCCCAGCTAGATAACTTTGAGTTCACCCTTACTCTTTGTTGATGCCCAACTAAGAAGTCTTTTATCCACATAAATAAATTGCCTCCAATCCCGACTTTTCGTAACTTATATAACAGCCGGTTGTGCGGAACTTTGTCAAAAGCTTTACTGAAATCAATGAAGGCGACGTCTACAGGTAGCTTTTGGTCCTTAAGGGCGCACCAGCTTTCACGAGCCACTAATAAGTTAGTGAGACAAGAATAACTTATTCTGAAGCCGTGCTGCTTCTCCGAGAGGATCCGGTTTTTATCGAGATACTTAAACAGCTCCTTCCGAATAATCTTTTCTAAGATTTTAACAACCACACTAGTTAGGCTAACGGGGCGGTAGTTCTCAGGTTTGTGTTTCGTGCCTGTTTTGAAGACAGGACTTACTATGGCGTTTTTCCAGTCTTTTGGTAAACGACCCTGCGTAACGGATAGGTTAAAGCATGTACTTAAAGGGCTTGCAACGAAGTTAGATAATTCCTTCAGTAGCCTAGGATGTAATTCATCGGGCCCCGTGGATTTACCTATGTCAAGCTTATTTAGCAGACCAAAGACATCGAGTTCTTTAATGGTCACGCTATCCAGTGTATGTATGGGGGATCTGTATACGCTGACGGGAAGGGCGCTTCTATGGTATATGCGTTGCTAAAGTAGTTCGAAAACACTTGAGCCTTACCAAAGTCGTCCTCCACTAATGATGAAGCAGTACTGTCTCCCCATAGAGCAGGAATATTTCCTTTTCTCCTTGTCCTTTGGTTTATATAGGAATACAAGCGTTTAGGACATTCTATGGATTCCTTAACAAGTTTTCCTTCGTACAATTTTCTAGATTTACAGAGGGTCGAGGCACAAGTATTCCGAGCCTTTCGATACTGAGATTTTGACTCATCAGTCCCCAGTAACCTAAATCTATCCCACTTTTTTTTCTTACGGAGAAGGATACGGACCTCCCTACTGAACCATGGTGGTGAGTTTTTCGGCCCCTTTGGTATAGTCCAAGGGATGTGAGGTGTGGTAACTTTTAAATATGAATTTCGAAATGCGTCCCAGGCCGTTTCGATTGAGGACTCTAGGTTTATTGTCCAATCTATTAACGTTGCTGAGTGCATGATGTCTTGTATGTTTGCTTTCCAGACGTTGGGTCTGGACTGGACTGACGCGTGCTCATGACTGGCAGTTATATGGAAGTCGAGAGTTAAAACTGCGTGATTACTTTTACCTAAGGGTGCATATGATAGAGGTTCGCAACATCATCCTCATAGTGAGTCAGTATAAGATCTAATAAGGATGATTCAGTGTCCGGATCGTACCTTGTCGCTTCTTTTACATGTTGCACTAGGGCACATGTGATAACCCCATCAACTAGTTCCTACACGAAAGAATTCTCCGACGATTTAGTTCGCAGATTTTCCCAGTCTACCATAGGTGCATTGAAGTCCCCTAGGATTTGACATCGACCACTTTGAGACCAAGTATTGAGACTGCTTAAGAGGATCTCATTTACCTCACAGCTTGGACTGCGATAGACCAAACCAATCAGCAGCTCTTGTCCCTTGCATTTCAAGCGGCAACTAACTAATTCACACGTCCCACTCTCATGCGATACACTGTCGATAATCGCAAATGGGATAGCATTCCTAATGAATAGAGCTACTCCCCCTCCTTTGCGCTTTTTGTGTTCTGTCGGCCCTTACTAACGTAAAACCCTCGAAATCAAGTTCCATACTATCTATAGCCTGTATCAGCCAGGTTTCTGTTACTGCGATTATGTCTGGCTTTGTAGAGTCAATCTGTACACCTAGTTCCGATCAATTATTAAGTAAGCTTCGTGCATTGGTGTAACAGATCTGAAGCCTGTTTAAGTGCCTTCGTACTTCACTCAGAGTGGCTTCGGCATCATTCTCTTTCGAAGTCTTACAACCCGGAAATTTACAATTTTCAGGTTCTTTTGGCCAGCGTCTAACCGAAGTTGTAATTATTTGTCGGCTTCCCGTCTTTTAACACGGTCTGCCAACGGTAGGTCCTTTCGGATAAAGACTCCTGAAGTAAAAATACGAGATTTTAGTAGAAGCTATATATTTCATGCATGCTTATCCACAGATATACTGTGATTGTCGACTAAATAAACGAAGGTTTGGGGTTGGTGACATACCAGTTCGTTAATTAATTCTGTGCCTTACCTTATTTAGGTAAAACAGAGTAATTTAGGCTAGTAAGTGGACAACAAACAGAGTAGTTGGTGAATAGGCATGCACACAAACAAAACGCATATAGTAACATAAATATAGTCAACAAGGGCATGGATAACAAAAATAAGTATATAGAAAGTCACGATTACTTGTAAGATATATAGAATTATTAGGAGTGTAAGACGGACTCAATAGTCACATGGTGTCTGATTTATCAATATTTGTCCAACAATTAGAATACATCCATATAGGAGATGTGAAGGGTCACTATATCTTTACATTGTGCTCCACCTCGAAAGTCTTCGTCCTGGAGTTGTTCCAGAAGTAATTTACTTAAAAATAGCCACAAAATTCTCCCGACCCAGAACCTTGGACTAAAAATACACTTGGTGAGTTTTCAGACCTACGTGTGATCAGTATCTATAAATCATCCTACAAGAACTGAACGTATTCCAAACTTATTGGTCTTCGTTTCATGAATAAGTCCTCTATGTTCATGGTAGCCTGTAAGAAAATCTAAGATATGTTGAGCGTTGGTTAATTAATATGAGGTAGATGACTTACTGAACAAGTCAGAACTCGTGGATGGAACTAGGTCATGGAGTTAACTAACTAACCCATAGAGTTAGAGTTTTTGTAAAATTGAGGTGTAATTACAATCAAATTTAGGATAAGCAAAATACAAAGTTTGAAACTAAGAACTGAACTTGTGACCTCCCTAACCATCACCTACATTTCAAAGTAGTAACTAAAGCAGTTTGACTTTATTTTAAGTAGTGTTGTGACCTGATAAACGTCTGAGTAGTTGTCATTGGAGTCAGAGCTGTTGCTTTATTACGGATTCGTAGTAGTTGTCATCGATGATTAACCAGTGAAACTTGGTAAAAAAAAATAGCATTTCATATACTTGATCGAATTCCATTTTGTAGGAACCACTGAGGCTACCTGAATACCCAAACCAAAGCACGCTAATTCGCATTTGAACCTATAGACCGCAAATTGACAGAGGGTTGCTTTGTCTAGTAAGCCACTTTCCCACTCGGAATAACTAAATACTCACTGAACACAATCTTTTCTTGTAAATACTTGCAAGTTAAGAAGTGGTTTACTATTGAATTGACTTTGTATTTAAACTAGTTATACCAGTAAAATCAATTTAGGTAAATACTATTGAATATCAAAGAAGGGCAGTTAATGTATTAGAATTTGTAATAAGAAAGACCAAACATTAATATTATAGTTCGACAGAATGTGATGAAAAGATACATGTGAAGAAATACTGGTAGTCAAGACTTGGGTGGAGATAAAAAAAAAGAATGTATCTGTGCCACTGTGACCAATCCTGAGTTGTGCCACCCAACGTCTTCGGCTACTGATCGCGGTTGTCAAGCAGACCCTGACCAAGTAGTCAACGTCTACCAAAGTAACTCGAATCAGTAGACAATGAATTCTTGGGTTTCGCCATGTTTTTTCGTAAATATTTTCGTGAGCATTCTAATTTTGCACATTTAGTTAGTTTGTGCTGTATATTCGGTAATGTTGTTCAGTGAACTTACTGTTTGTGACGATTTAAATTTTTGACAAACTATTTGCTATCTTTGCTTTTTATAGTATGCCTATCCACAATATTTCTTACCTGTTTCACAAAATTTGAGAAATGCTTGGAAGTCAAGTATTATGAGAACCTCACAGCCTACGCATATGCTCTGGTTTCAAAGATAAAATTTCAAACACAGATTAATATAGATGGGACTGATAAGTATTACGCACGCCATTTGATTGGCAGACGGACATCTCTGTCATATTAAAAATGGGCCAAGTTGACAAAATCCTAACAAGGTTTCTTAATAAGTGACGAGATTTTTCCAGATAACAACCTCTCAAGGCTGATGGTACTTTTAAATTAGATAGGTGTTGAAATTCCTCAGTCCGTATGATCAGTGTTTTGAAACGAAATTCTACATAAAGAGGGAGAGAAACAAGTCCCATGCATGCATCGGAATACTCTGCATTTTGCCAGTGTTTTCACCAAATAGCACGATGCCACTTACATGCTCTGTGTCTATTAATAATTTTGAGGAAGTTAATGATTTCTTTGCATTGCTATATGACGAAAACTTTATTTGCACTAGTACGTCCATTGGATTATTAAGTAGAGATATAGTTATCAAGAAAAGCTAATGTACATCGCTTGAAGCTTGCAGTGTAGATTAGAATTCACTTTGAGTTCATACTCGTCTAGTAGTAGTTGAGACGAGACTACACAAAATTTATTTACTCCTTTGCCACAAATTTTAACAGCCCATATTGTTGTAAAGTCTGTGTGGTCGACACAGTTGAGTGGCAGCTAATGTTCGGTAGTTGAAAAATTATTTAGTGCATACCGCTTATGTTTTTGTTGTTCTACCTTAGTTCTATGCATGGCCATTCTAGTTTTCAGGCCATTTGATTTTATTCCGTTTTAGTGTTATGAATATTATACTATGCATATTGGTGTTAATAAATCAGACTATTTACCATCATTGATAGTGCAGAAATCACCTGTTAACTTTTATATTGGACTTTGCCTCGCCTTATTGTCGACCTTATTCATTGGAACTAGTTTTATATTTAAAAAGCTTGCACTTCGTCGAAGTTCCAGGAATGGATTTAGCGCTGGTGAGTAAACCCATTCATTTTGACCTCATTTATGTATAAATTTAACGTTATCTGTAAGGTGTATGTACTTTCAAGTGACATATGTTTCATGTGAAATTCAAGTCGGTGTTGTAGGTGGAAACTCAGGTTGAATTATTCATTCTAGTATTAAATTTTGAAAGATATTATTCATAGTCTGTTAATAGATTCATTAAACACTTCAGCACTATGATATTGAAGTAGCAAAGTTATGTTACATCCAGTTCCACAGAACTCGGACAAACGGTGTTATTCTTATAATGAGTCAGAATCGTATATCGAGGATCAGTTACTTATTGGTTTAAGCAATCGGTTTTTAGTCATTAAGTCAGATGTTTGGGTCATTATATGTCATCTCTTATATGGTTAACCAAATAGTCCCTCTAGCTGTCAAATATCCCAGGTTGGCTCGAGTATGGATATACAAAAGTGTACTTTGTAAATGAGTTGGTTGTAGCTTACTAATTATGACTGTATGTTTACTTCATTGGTTGGGATGTACGTTGTGGATCATGGACTACTGCTTTTTTGACATGTTATAATGGTTAACGAAGGAAGGAAGAAAGTGTGCATATTATTTATCCACTTGAACCTAGTATTGAAGCTGGCAACTGTTAATAGGTAATCCCATGTGATTAAAGCCTAAAGATAACAGTTTATTGTTTCACTGTCTACTAAAAATGTACTAATATATATATATATGTCTTGTACGTTTGTTAAGTAAGCTATATTATTTTAGTCAAAAATGAATAGTTGGTGAATAATCGGTAAATTTACCACATGATAGCCATAAGATATGATCAGCGAGCTTAGATGACATGAATTTAAACCCGTTTTGATCGGGAAGTTGCATCCAGTTTTCGTATTCTGCTCATGAATGAGTTGATGATGTCACAGGTATTCAGTGTTTGACAACGCTTCTACCAGTAACACCTTCTAATATATTTCGTTCCCACCCAGAGAAATCAAAAGACAGAGTCGAGGAGATCGGAAGAGTATATTTGGCGATGACCAATATATCGGAATTCTCTGATCTAATCTGGCTAGCGATTGCGATTGATGTTGAGCACGGCGTTACCACACGTGATCTGGTGCGGATGCCTGACCGAGCGCCTTCAGCTAGATGAGTCCACTAAAACATATGGTCAGCATCCAATGTCGAAAACTTAGTGCTATATATTTTGGGGATTTATTTACCGCTACAGATCACTCCCATCCTAGTGGGGCAGTGACGACCCTAAGACGTGGCCAGCCAGAAGTTTAAACTCAACGAGTTTGTCGTTGGTAAACACTCTTCTGATAGCTTACTAAGTGTAGCAGCGTCTGGTCGTCTTTCCTTACTATATGGGACGGTGGTACAGCATAGTAAAAAAAGAAAATGTACAATGAAAAGTTCGGATCCTCATAAACGTCATCGTTCTTTTCCAGCCGTCCTGGAAAAGAAAAAAGAAAATGTAAGTGCATGTCGAAAGTACACTCGTATGTGCGTAAAAACACAATGTCGGCGGATAAAAAATGGAAAATAAACTCATGAACACGTAATAGCGTTAAAAAAATTGTTTTTTTTGTTTTGTTTTTTTTTTAAAATAGAAATTAAAATATATAAGCATATTAAAATTGTTTTTTGTTTTTTAAAAAAAAATAATATAAAATGTCGAGAAGTGCCTTACGTGCAATAGTCGTTTAAATGTTCTGGAAATCTCACCCTTCTTCCAGAACGCGTCGTTTTAAGTTTATTTTCGGATACTGTCGAAGTATCATCGTGTGTGTTGGTTGTCGGATGAGGTATTATAAGTGTCGGAGTCGTGTCGTTCGATTGTACCGAAGGAAGATCCACGTAGATAGGATTTCCTTCTAAATACGCTGCTTTTAAGCGATCGATGCTGATGCTATCGTTGGTTCCGTTCTTATCGACTATATAGTACTTAGATTCACGTTGAAGAACTTTGAAGGGTCCTTCGTATGCTGATTCGAATGGTCGTCGATGCGAGTCTCGACGAATGAAAACGTGTGTACTATATCGTAAGTCAGGTTGAACGAAAACATCAGTTGATTGAGGTCGAGTGGAAGCAGGTTTAACTGAACGCATTGCGTTTGTAAGCCTGTTCGTGTAGGAGGTTAGATCCATGTTCATTGAAGAGGATGAAGGATCCACGAATTCTCCTGGAAGTCGAAGTGTCGTTCCATAAACGAGTTGAGACGCAGTGTATCCAATGTCAGCTTTCACTGCATTGCGGATACCTAGTAAGACGAGTGGAAGAGCGTCGGTCCACTGTGAAACGTTTGCAGCTGATAGCGAAGCTTTCAGTTGTCGGTGAAAACGTTCTACCAACCCGTTTGCTTGTGGATGGTAGGCGGTCGTTCGGAAGCGAGTGATTCCTAAAAGTGTGGTCAGACGACGGAAAAGATCGGATTCAAACTGACGTCCGCGGTCTGTAGTGATGGTTGAAGGGCAGCCAAAGTTTGCTACCCATCGTTCGACGAAGGTGCGAGCCACTGTTTCAGCAGTGATGTCCTTGATAGGTAGTGCTTCTGGCCATCGAGTGAAACGGTCTACGCAGGTTAAGAGATAAGAGTATCCATTTGAATCTGGTAAAGGTCCTACCAAATCCAGATGAACATGGTCGAAACGAGCATCGGGAGTTTTAAACGAGCCTAAGGGACATTTATTGTGTCTGATGACCTTAGATTTTTGGCAGCTTACACAGGAGCGTGCCCACTCCCTCACGTCTTTATTCATTCCAGGCCAGCAAAACCTTTCTGCTATAAGCTTGATGGTTGCACGAACACCTGGATGAGAAAGTTTGTGCAATGTGTTGACGACATTGCGTCGATAATGTTTCGGAACGATTGGGCGATCCCTACCTGTAGATGTGTCACAAAGTAAGGTTTCCTTACCTGTTCCCATCTGTTTGATGCGTAGTTTAAGTGTTGTGGACGATAACTCGTGTTGAAGATCACTGTCTTCTTTTTGAAGCTCGGCGAGTTTAAGAAGGTCGATTCCTTGGAAACTGTTCAAGGAAGTTATACGAGATAAAGCGTCTGCAACTACATTGTTTGCTCCAGAAATATGTTGAATATCTGAAGTAAACTGCGAAATGTAGTCCAGTTGTCGAGACTCACGGGGAGAGTACTTGTCAGAAGGAGAGCTTAACGAGAAAGTGAGCGGTTTATGGTCCGTGAAAAGAGTGAATTCACGGCCTTCGACATAGTGTTGGAAATACCGTACAGCACAATACATAGCTAGGAGTTCCCTACCGAATGTGCTGTACCTCGATTCGGTGTCTAGCAACCTTCTAGAGAAAAATGTCAAGGGTTGCCAGGAGTTGTTAACCCATTGTTGTAAGACTCCTCCGATTGCTGAGTCGGATGCGTCTACTGCGATGCTAATGGGTGCTCGGGTGTCCTGATGTGCGAGCATTGTTGCTTTAGCAATCAGTTCCTTAACTGTGGAGAATGCTTTTCTTGCGGTGTCGTCCAAATTAATGGATTTCGCATTTCCACGAAGTTGGTCGGTCAGAGGTTTCATAAGTAATGCGCATTTGGGTATGAAACGTCTATAGAAACTTACCAGGCCGTTAAACGTGCGTAATTGCTTGACGGTGGTCGGTTCTGGGTAATCCAGAATGGCCGCCACTTTGGTTCTAAGGGGTCGGATACCTTGAGCATCGATAGTGTGTCCTAGGAAATCTAACGAGTCGGTTCCGAATTGGCATTTCTGAACGTTTACAGTAATGCCATGTTTTTGTAGTCGTTCGAAAACAAGATCCAGATGCTTGAGATGTGTTTCTCTGTCCGGACTTGCGATTAGACAGTCGTCAACATACGCGTGTACGAAGTTGAGACCTCGAAAAACGTCGTCTATGAATCTTTGGAATGTTTGAGCAGCATTTCTTAGACCGAAAGGCATTCGCAAAAATTCATAGAGTCCGAAGGGAGTTATGATAGCTGTTTTCGGAATGTCGTCAGTAGCCATAGGTATTTGGTTATACGCTTTGACCAAGTCGATTTTCGAAAAGACAGTTGTACCTTTCAAGGTAGCTGTCAAATCGTGAATGTGAGGCAACGGGTAACGATCGGGAATGGTTTTCGCGTTCAATCGCCGATAATCACCAGTTGGACGCCAATCGTTGCTGTCCTTTTTAGGGACCATGTGCAACGGAGATGCATATGGGCTACTTGACGGTCGTATGATTCCTAAGTCCATCATGTGATCGAATTCGTTTTTCGCTAACCTTAGCTTTTCAGGAGCTAGTCGTCGTGCTTTAGAGAATACAGGTGGTCCTGTAGTCGTGATGTGATGTGTAACGTTGCTGGTTACACACGGTAGTTTCGGTTGAGTTTGTTGTATTCCAGGGTACTTATCTAGTAGTGGTTGATAGAGTGGGTCTATCATATGCTTAACTGTGACTGGGGATACTCTGCAACCAGTAAAAGAAGTTACGCAAACGGACAAATTAGTGTTTCCGTCTACTAGCCTCCGTTTGCGAGTGTCGATGATCAGATTGTGGTGTTGTAGAAGGTCCATACCAATGATTGGCATAGAACCATCTGCAACAACGAAAATCCAGTGGATGGGTTTGCGTAAACCCACGTTAAGGTAAACGTACCTTTTGCCATATGTAGCGATCGGTTTTCCGTTTGCCGCCTGTAAGTTTAGAGCCGATTCTTGAAGCCGATCGTTGGGATTCGCTGGGAGAACGCTAACTTCTGCGCCAGTATCGACGAGGTAGCGAACTCTCGTTGTCACATCTGTGACGTATAACAGACGGCTATGTTCGCCGGCTACGGTTGCCGTTAACGCGTGCCGGCTTGGAAGTTTCCCGAATTGTTTTTCGAATCAGTCGGTTTCGTGTTGGGAAAATTGCATGGTTTTCTGCAATTTCTGGAAGACTTTCCATACTGGTTATGATACCAGCACCAGTCGGGGTTATCCGTCTCTCGTGGTCTAGAGACAGATCGCTTACGAGAAATGCTTCTACGTGGTGTGCGCGATCTCTTACGGTCGGTACGGAGACTAAGATAACGCGTGAGTGTGTGACATAAGTCGTTTATATCATTCTGAGTCGTGTGAGGCTTTTCTTTGACTGAAAATACCTCGGTAGTAGATTTCGTAATTTCTAAAATGCGGTCGGCAGATGCAGCTAGCTCGTCTAAGGCGTTGTTCTGGAACGAGCCCAGAACCCCTTGCACCTGTTGGGGAAGTTTTGACAAGAAGAGTTGTTTGAATAGACCTTCGTCGAAAGTTCTTGGGCCTATAATCTCTCTCATCCGTTGCAACATGTCTGTCGCAGAACCGTGTTGCAGGTCGATATTTTTGAAGAGTTGATCTAACCTTTGTCGATCGGTTAGGTCTGCTCGTTTAAGAATCGAGCGTTTTAAGATTTCGTAAGGATCGGAAACATCACTAGTAAACATACTAGGTGTCACGTACCTGTTGAATTCGCGCGGTAGTGCCTTGACTACTGCGAGGAATTGTGCACGTGTGTCGATCACGCCGTGCTCGGAAAAGTCGGCTTCTGCGTAGCAAAACCAGGCTTCGATGTTGTCGGGCCAGAAAGGCATCAGTTGAAACGAAGGCGGGGACAAAGTCTTAAGCTTGAGTACTTTAGGTGTCTGTTCAGTCATGATGAAATATTAAGTATGATAATGAACGAGGGGAAAATATATATATCCAAGAAAAAGCACGAAAAAAAATCACAATGTTTAAAAAAAATAAAAAATAAGGCAATGATATATAAAAATCCCAAAAAGGAACAGACTCACAGTTGCAATAAGGTGTACCAGATCACGTCGGTTTCACCAATGATGATGTCACAGGTATTCAGTGTTTGACAACGCTTCTACCAGTAACACCTTCTAATATATTTCGTTCCCACCCAGAGAAATCAAAAGACAGAGTCGAGGAGATCGGAAGAGTATATTTGGCGATGACCAATATATCGGAATTCTCTGATCTAATCTGGCTAGCGATTGCGATTGATGTTGAGCACGGCGTTACCACACGTGATCTGGTGCGGATGCCTGACCGAGCGCCTTCAGCTAGATGAGTCCACTAAAACATATGGTCAGCATCCAATGTCGAAAACTTACAGAGCTATTTATTTTAGGGATTTATTTACCGCTACAGAGTATTAGTATTACTTCATACTTCGTTGTTATCGATCTCGTTAGTTCATTTTGAACTAGACTGCTTCTGGTTTCTTCTCCACTGGAAGTTTTACTATTATTATCTGACTATATTAGTCGTCATTTTGATAATTTCCTCTCATAATTTAATCATGTGGAATGTGAAATATCCACAAAACCCCTTTTGATTATAATCATCATATACCCACTAGTGATTGGCTTCAAGAGGTATTTCCTGGAGTTCTAATGAGAAGCCGTGACTAGTGGAGTTCAACCGGGTTTGTTGTGAGATAGTAACTCACTAAAGACAATGGTGGGTGTGTTGCTCAATTTGGTGAATTAGTTGAAGTTAGGAATTAACACCGTTGTATATTGGCAAGCTCAGTGGTCTAGTGGTTAAGCGCTCACGCGCGAGACTGATAGGTCTTGGATTAGAATCTCGCGATGCGGTATCGTGAATGCGCATCTCTGGGGAGTCACACAATAGGACGAAATGCCTGTCCGATGATTCCAGGTTTTCCATGGTAACCTAGTTTCAATTGACTCATGCTCTCAACTATTAAAATTCTAAAATAAAAACGTTTGAGAAAAAAACTACTTTTCAACTTATTATTATTGAGTCAATTGATCACAATTGACTTAAATGATTTGCTCGAATTCAAATGACCTTAATTAACATCAAGAATTAATCTCTTTATTTTCAATAAATTTTTCTATAATAAATTAGTTTTATCAATTTGTTTGATTAATTTAAAATTTCTGAATATTCATAAATCTATGCATTTGCTTATATTCACATTTAATGAATTGTAACTTAAATATCAAGTATGGATCTTATGTAGTCGGCTTTTAATTACAATGTAAACACCTGGGTGGAATGTGAGGTTTGGATCTGGAACTTGTACTAACCGAAAGTCGAATATTTCAGTCAATAAAATCCAAATCTTCAATTTGTACGGTACTGTATTTCATATGATAATCAATGGATTATATCCATACATAAAAGGAAATGTATGAACCGTCGTACATATGCGTATGTGTATGACAACAATAGAGAGTGTCTACTTAACCAGCTTTAAACCGAATTTTTGTACGTCTGTGATGGCTAGTAAACCTACCTGTCTGGATGGCAAAGAAATTAAACCAGTTGATGAGATCACAAAAGTGAACATGCTAAGCTGATACATACTGTCATATTATAATTGGACTAAAATTAGCCTGTTTCAGTCCGTGATGAGTACTTCAACAATCTCTACAATCCTCTTTTCAATAGCTATTTATGTGGAACTAATGTATAAATGCTTTTTTATTATTATTTATTTTACTAGGTGATGGATCCCTAAGTTATTTGTGTGAATGGATGTGGTGGATGGGTTTTATTCTAATGGGTATTGGTGAATTTGCCAATTTTGTAGCGTATACATTCGCTCCAGCTATACTAGTGACACCGTTAGGTGCATTATCTGTACTTGTTAGTGCACTGTTAAGTGTACGCTTTTTAAATGAACGTTTAAATTGTATTGGTGGATTTGGATGCGGTATATGTATATTAGGTTCAACTTTAATTGTATTACATGCACCAAAAGAACAAAATTTAACATCACTACATGAAATGTGGTTAAGAGCTACCGATCCATGTAAGTTTTATATTCTATATTGTACATTCATAACATTTTATCTCTAATATGACTATTCGTGTTCCGTTTTACATAATCAATGAAGCATAAGAATTCCCAATAAGAATAACAACAAGCTAAATTGATGTGGCCACAAAATATTTATTATTTGGATCTCTATAACTTTGACATGATTGTACAAGTAAAATATCAAATCACAATCAATATTACAAATGATAAGTCTCAATGGGTGCATAATTAAGATTTTTTAAATATAAACCAGTCAACTATTGAGTGGTTTACTGGGGTGTTACTTACAGATCGATGAAAGACAATCACATCAATTAGTGAGTTAGACAAAAAAGAAAGAACTTACAATTAAAATTATTCTTTCAAAAAATGTACTATGAAACAATCATTTTGACTGATTACATCATGAGGAACAAACAAAATGATTCACTAACTATCCAAGTTTTATAGTTTGATTTGGTTTAGTGATTTATAGAAGTTGATTAGATACTAACTATAAACAAGATTTTATCAGCAACTTTTAGTATTTGAATAGTTTTTCATAGTTCAATTATACATCACAGGTAACTGTTTCAGTCCTAGTTGTAAACTTTTTAGTTAAACTCCATTCATCCGTGTAAAGTTGTTAGCGAAACATTTTTGCAATGTCCCATGATTTTCTATAATTCTCTAATTGATATCAGTCTTTTCTTATTCGACTAATTTCCACAATAACTTGATGAAATTGGTTGCTCACTTAGATTAGCCTTTTTCTTTCATAGCATAGGAACTTTTTTCTGACAGCTTAGTAGTTAAGTAAACTAAACAAGCATCCATAATAGTAAAACATTGGTTTTATGCTGATATTTAAACAAAATTAGGGAAGAAATGGGTGATCGATAAACGTATGTTGAAAAACTGGCCGATATTATATCTTTCTGTACTTGTTGCACACAAATCTATTTTGTCATTCTTTAAGGTAATGAGCAATTTTTAACTCAACTCAGAAAGACATATTACTTACCCATAACACCAGAAAATTGTCCCACGTATCCCAATACCTCAGTATGTAATATGATGTCTGTCCAGTGTCCCTGAAGTATTTACAAGAGAGTTTGATATTTCCCGATGAAGTTCTCCTCTACTCACTCAAAGATTACTAACTACTCAATCTTGACTCAGTTTGGATAGTATTTCTACATTCTAAATAGTAGTGAAATCTATACTATACCTCAGACTCTGATTGACACCTAAATTACCTTGGAGTATCTACATCAATAAGCGCACAAATAAGTTGTTCTAAGAATGTATCATTAAGAATGCAAAGAATCTTGTTCATCTAAAACGGCTTCACATGGCATATAAAATTGTTTAGGTTCAAAATCGGTTTTCCCTGTCAATCCTTTAATTTTTCTATACACGATTCTACTTACTCTCCATGTTTTATTGCGTACTCACCAGTAAGACGATGAAATGTTTCAATGGAACATCGACGGTATGTACCCTTGTGACTTGTAACTATGCGTGTCACCAACATCGTACTTCACTTCAGAGTTTACTTTGAACAGACAAAAAAACCTGATTTATTAATGTTCCCAATGCAATTTAGATCAAAAGAAGCATGTATCTGACGTGCCTTTTTATTCATACGAACTCATTCCTACTTCATAATGTTGTAGCTTGGTGTCAGATCGCGATAGACTATGAACACCACTACAAAGGAACGCATGCCAGGATATCCATAAAATCCCCCGGAAGCCAAATATCAGAAGGCAGTTAATGGACCAAGTCGAGATATATTTGCTGGCGATCTCGTGGTATCGAAAGAATACCGAGATCGTGCCAGGTACAAGCTTGGTTACAGAATGTAACCGAATTCGCGCGAGGTCACAATCAAAGTATAAGAATAATGAATGCTTTTTAGCACAGTTAAACAAAAGCACATTAAAACAGTCACTGGTACAATTGGTTATAATAATAATTGTTTTCAATAAACCAGTCGTGTTCTCGTGATAAAAGTGAGTCACTACAATGTCACAACAGATTATGTCTTAGTAAATTCAAAGAATTTATTTAACTCTTATGTTGGCTCACCAGTTTAGCGACCCGAGATCTGACTCCGATTTGGACGAGCGTATGAATACTCCAAGAATATAGATCTTCCATTTAATTATGTTACACTTAGGTTAACCTGTGTGTGTGGAGATAATAAAAAACCAAATGCAGATTAAGCTGGATTGGTTTATTTCATACAATAGTTTATTCAGACTATTCAGAAATTAATAATGAGAAGCGGGAGAGCTAAGCGAGACGGAGAATACAACTGTACCAACTCCTTTTGATAATGTGTGAATCAATATTTACAGCCAGACAAAAACGAGCTAAAGACTTGTAATAAATGGAGTCAGCGATACGCACACTCATGTAAAAACCAGTCAAGGTCAATAAGCGAACAATTGACAAGGTCAAAATATGGCTCAAGTAGAGTAAAATTAATCAATCTGTCTGAAATTTAGAGTAACCGATGTGGGTTGACACTGCACTCTACATGTTTTTTCTAAAAACCGGAATGTTAAAGGATTGGTATTCGGCATTTCTTTTCAATTTTCACATTAAGATATTGATGTTATCTTTATTCTTATAGACCTCATAGTACAGTATAGTCTAATCATAAATGTAAGTCCAAAGCCTATTGCATAAACGCATACACTTGGTTTCTGTGTTTGTAGGTTCTCATCAATCATTTCATTGAAGAATCACATGCACTTTGATCAAAACTTCAGATAAAAATTCAGAAAAAATCAACTTGTTTCGAGCTTGGAACCCTGAAGCGATCACTTCAATATTCTTATATTTTACTCATTATACATTGCACTGATGCATTTATTTATCTAAGTATTTTGTTATTATATTTGATTGTTTTTCTTCTCAGCTTTCATTATCTACAGTTTATTCGTTATATTAATGTCCATCGTATTGATTTTTATTTTGGGTCCACGTTATGGTAAAACAAACCCAATTATCTTCACATTGGTCAGTGGAAGTATTGGCTCATTGTCAGTTGTTGCTTGTAAAGGTATTGGTGTAGGATTAAAAGTGAGTAAAAAATGAGCTTTGAGATGGTGGAGAAGATTTGTAGTTCAGGTGGATGATTTTGATAGAGTTTTGTTCTCTGAGCTGAATGGTTTGGTTGTGAAGCTTTCATCGTTCTTCTGGACGACATCATCAGCACAAACTTCAGGTAGAGGTGAAGTGTTCGAATTTCTCCATAACATCAAGGTCTACAGGACAATCTGTGAGCCATATGCGAAGAAATTCGAACACCACTTCTACCTGAAGTTTGTGCTGATGATGTCGTTCAGAAGAACGATCAAAGCTCCACGACCAAAACATCCAGCTCAGAGAACAAAACTCCATCAAAAAAGCTTCATATTTTCCCGAAAGATTTTTTTGATTTATCCTCTATATTCCTTTTAATTACACATTTCAAAATCGTTGATTATACTTAAATTATTTGCAAACAGTGATTAAACTGTAATCCAGTAGCTCACTTTTGCTCTGCTTATCTTGGTGTTGAATTAAGGACGAGTAAGGTAGAAAATTTGAGTATTTTTACCCATAGGTGTATACTCATCAGATCAAAATACGTTTACAATCTGTAAATAAATTAAAATGATTGAATGTAACTTATTTGCAAAGTACAGATTTGTCTGTTCATTTCTAAGTCTCAAACTCCAATTATCAGGCCTAATTGTGCTACCCAGTTACGAAAATCTAACCATCACTCGATGGGTGATGTTATTATTATTTTTTATTATTATTAGCTTTATTCAATATTATAATTTTGGTACAATATAGAATTCTCAGCGCAAAGTATTTCAACAAGTTTCCGTTTCTTTCTTCTTGGTCGGTCCTGGCGATAAATATTGAGGAATCGCCAGTTAGATGTTAGCACTTCAGTGAATGAACAACTGAATAATGTACATTCTTTTCGTTGTACATTGCCAGCAACCATATTGTCTCTTATTGAGTTTTCTGTAACTTTGACAACGAAAGGTTGTACACTTTTCAGAAACGCAGCAGAATAGGTTATGCGATTAATAAACATAATGATATATTAAAACAAACAACAATAGATAACTTGTTGAAATATCTAGATGGCAGGAACAGGTAGCCCAGATGCTCAAGCAGGCCGCCCTACGTGATGTAGGAGAAAGTTGGAAGGAATCTAGGAGTGGTCAAATGAAAACATGATATTAGCCCGCGAAGTCACCCACTGTTGAACTGATCTATGTTAGCAGATGCCGACTACTTGGTTGGGTTTCATTTAATGACCACTATCAGCGATTGATTAGCTTCATGTCATCATGCTAATAGGGCATAGCATTTTGGGCCAACGCACATTTGTGGTATGCCCTACGTTGATTATGACTAACTGTAAATGAAGTGAATGGGACAGAATTCGAATCCTCTACTTACTGATTGAAAGGTGAACAAATTGAAAATTAAGCCACTGTTCAATTGTAGAATTAGCATCCGCATAATATATAACATCCAAACTTAATGAGAAAGTGTTCTCGGCATTAATTCTATTTTAATAGTTGATATCATAAGCCTTTGGATGCCGGCTCAGTGGTCTAGTGGTTAAGCGCTCGCGCGCCAGACTGATAGGTCTCGGGTTCGAATCTCGCGAGGCGAGATCGTGGATGCTCACCACTGAGAAGTCCCACAATACGACGAAATGGCCGTCCAGTGCTTTCAGGTTTTCCATGGTGATCTAGTTTCAATTGACTCATGATCTCAAATATTAAAATTTCTATAGTATCCACAAAACCCCTTCTGATATTAATTCTATTCAAATCGACTAGTTTATGATCTAACGGAATTATCAAAAATGTTGTTGTATTTTTTAAATCACATTTATTTAATAATAAGTATCTGTCATTTACTTAGCTTCTTCGTATTTTTCCCACCAAAATCACTTTTTACACAAAAAACTATTTTAGAATGCATTCACTGTTGGCTTTTCATCAATGTTCTCATCATGGTTATTTTGGTTCCTGATGATCTGGCTTATTGGTGCAATCACAATACAAATGTATTATTTAAATCGAGCATTAGATTTATTCAGTACTGGCATAATTACACCGTTACTATATGTGTTCTTCACTGGCTTTGTAATCATTGCATCAACAGTGTTATTTCATGAATTAAATGCATTGAATTATATGGATTATGTTGGTTTAATATTCGGCTTGATATTCACAGTGTTAGGTATTGTTATGATTACTGTGCTAAAGGTGAGTGTCAGCATGTTACTTTGTTTAAGTGGTGTACAACTTTGTACTAAGGATCAAACAATTTACTAATGAAGAAAAAAATCAAAAAAAAAGATCTGATTTTTAAAACGAAAACCTGAAAAGTTTTTCACACCACTTCTCTCTCTATCTCTCTGTTAGACGGAACTGAATTATGTGCTATCGATACTTGTGCAGTTTTGAGCATTAATTCTATGATATTAGAGACATTATAATTGTTTTATTTTTGGTTCAGTGTAACAAATTGATCTAGTTCGTTTAGTACATTGATAGTGTTGTACATTTTTCCAAGGTTTTAGATGTAAATAGTCGGTTTAATAATCAGAAATCTTGTCTATGAGAAGTATCTATTTATAAATTATGAATATTGGATCAGTAGTCGTATGCAGGTTCATATACTGAAAAAGTTAAGTGTGTTAGCAATATTGCCACTTCTCTTAGTTGCCTAAACATAAGCTGGTCCTGTGTTGGGGACGATAGATCCCCAAAACTCAAATTTTTGTAATTTACTTATCGATTAAATGTGCAGATAGGTCAATTGATGAACTATCGATTAAATGTTCAAATAGCAGTCAATTGTTGATTAATGTTCAAAAATCTTCCATGACAATATCGATTGTAAATATTTGTATAAATACGCTTGATTTGTGTGCTTGACTTGACTTGTTATCTACTGTTTGTCTGTAGAATACACTTTCTACACCTTACACAGACTTCTTGATCGAGTTAGCAGAGTTGGGGACAACGGACCAGAATAGACTATCGAGATTCTGAATCCTTGATCCGATCGATAAGTCACTGTCATATAATCGGGCTGTCTGCTTGAGACATAACATCCTGTGCTGAAATTAATTATTTAAACTACTGATCCTAAATAGTTAAATGATACGGTCTTTGATTATGAAGATATGCCTTGCTAGAAAAAATCAACTATGAAGCGATATAAGTCTAAAATTCCTGAAAATGAACTCTGGAAATCAATGCTTGGGTATTGGTTTCCCTTTATTGAGAATGTGTTGACTTTTTGGTATGTGCTTTTAATTAGAGTTGACTGAGGTCAATACAAAATCCCCTGTAGCTCTTCTAGTGTTACTGCCGGTCCCAAGCCTGGGTAAAGAATGAGGGATAGGAGTGGGATCAGCAACCCCATCCCGTAGAAAACAACTTGCTGAAAAAAATGTAAACAAATTAAACATATGCTCCAGATCAATATTATGACTAATTAAATTGATCATAGTGAAATTCAGTATTATGACCTTTTTCGCATTATTATTGTGATTTGTCCAATTTAAGCAATACCATATAGTTGAAACCTATTTGGATTTGTTATTCCATCTCATAAAATACCATATATATTTTGGTGTCTTCTTATCTTATTGGTTTTTACTGAGACATGAGAGTTGTCTTTAAAGTTTCATCTTGTTGCTTCTTGTTTACCAATTATTGTCATCGCTGAAGTATCGCTGTTTACTATTTGTCAGTCAGTTTAGTCACTATATACCTGTTGTATATTAGAAGTATCTATCACCATCTATACCTTGAACTCCGAAATAACTACAAATCATACCAGCTTAACTCTCTAGTCCTACAACTTAATAAAGTATAATTTTTTTGCATAAAGAAACCATGATATAAGTAATCAGTAAAATCTCATTAAATTGATGACGTATAGCATTATTTGATTGTGAGTTTAATAAAACGCAACCCAGGTTTTCTTTTAATTTCATCTCCATCTTTTTGATATAATCTACTTATTCCGGCAACTGCAGACGAACATCATGTAGTTTAGAACGGTATTAGTTATCATTCGTCAGCAAAATGTGTCTACAATTTCATGAGAATTTGAACTTGATTTCTATGTGATTTACACTTGTTTAATAGAAAGTTGTTCGGTAAGAATCACTCTTTTAATGGTTGATTAGTGTAGTACCTTTTTGTCCATGGTTAAAGGTAAAAAGTTAGTTCTTTGTTATGTTTAATTTAATAGGAAGTCTTACAGTAAAGAGTAAGATTTCTATTCGACGTTATTAGTTTAAACAATACAGTTGGTTTGTTAAAATATATACTTATGATAAGTGTTCGTGAGGATCGTTTAATGTGAATTTAGTTTTTGTTGTCTTTATATAATAATGATCATCTGTTCAGTATTGACCAACTTTGAAAGATAATCTTGATGTCCTCATTGAAAATCATAATCAATAGAGATCTAAACCAGGTTGGAAAGGAGACAGTAGCTTACCAAGGATACTGCATGATGGTCGTTTTATATTGTGTACTACTTAAGGTATAGAATGTAGGTCTTTGAATCCTGACTGGCTTATCTGAAAGGACCGTGTTTGTCGTGTTACCTGAATACCCGATTCTTGTGATGATCGTGAATATGCACTGTTGAGCTAAATACTACTAATGTTTAGTGTGTCTTGGTTTTCAGTGATTGAATGGTTGACATAAATTTTTGAGAAGATTCAATGAAACCTAGACTCACCTCTATAAATCTGTTAATCATGTAGTACTATCTTATTTGAACTATAACTTAGCGGATGATCTGTAAATTAGTAGAATTATCAACTGATTCAATTAAATGAAGTATTCTAATCAGTTCGTTCTTATATTATCAGTTATACACATCAATTTAGTCATGTTTAAATGCTGTTCGAACCTTTAAATCTACAAAATAATTCACCATATCTTCATTATGTCTGTTTGCTGCTGTTGTAATTGTGTGTTGTTTTGTTGTTTTTTCCTCACTGTTTTGTTAGGATTCCAATTTCTCATGGAAGAGCTTACGAACATTTTTTCAGGCAAAGCATTCAACCTACTCGTCATCAAACAGTTCATTTGACACGCACAATAGACTTTATCGTCGTATTACTGCATTCAAACCAACATTGTATGACTGGAAAACTCAACATGGTAGACGTTTATCATTCGATCAATTGAGTACCAAAAAGTTAATCTCTGATCATCATTCTGATTCTGAACTCACTGATGTTGTACAGCTATTGCCACATATAACTAGTCGTAATATTAATCAAAATGGTCATCTAATGTCAGGTAAGGCAAGAATGAAAAGAATTCAAACATTTACTGATTCTCCACAATTGTATACTCTAACAAACGGAATAGTTTCTGTTTCTACTTAAAACTTTGAGACAAACTAAACAAGATTCATTTCATTTATAAGTATGACAATCATCGTAAATGTATAGTTGTCTTCATAGGTGGATGATGCATATATATGTACTCTCCAAATCACGTTATATGTCACATTTCCATTCGTGCTTTAAGTTACTTTTATTTTCAACCGTTCCATTTAGATCATTTAAATTTCCATCTGTACTGTAAACCCTTGAAATAAGAATGACAATTACGAGTTATTGTCTTTCACAACTATTCTCATAATTTTTATCATGATTATTATTGTCGTTACTATATTTCTTTCTTCCTTTTTGTTTTGAATAATTCTAATTAGATTTTGTATAGGACAGTATTTTCTGATTGTTAATAAGTAGTATAAGTTGGTTTATTTTTTCGTTGTTGCTTTCCCCCCCCCCCCATATTTATGGAACATTAACCACCTATACTTTTATTACTGATTATCTAATTAGAATTAGATAATCTTATATTTGACTAATATTATTAATTTTATAAATTGTATGAACATTATTTAAGCAAATTATTCAGACTACTTATTAATTTATTGAGTAATTAACTTTATTATTTATTTATATATCCATTTACTTATTCATTCATTCATTCTTATTTACAAACATTGATACGTAAACAAAATGAGCATATTTGAATAAGATTTGAAATTGCAGTTTAGTGTTGTTGTTTGTTTGTTTTTCTATGCTGTTTTCTTGATATGAATTTTTTGTTTCGATTTTAGAATCTAATAAATAAAAACAAAATTATAATCAGAGAAGGGTTTTTGTGGATGTTATAATAATTTAATAGTTGAGTTCATGAGTAGACGGTGTAGCAACTTCATAGATTAGTTAAAGTTAGACATTAACACCGTTGGATATCGACCGGCTCGCGCTTGCATGCGAGACCGATAGGTATTGGGTTCGAATTTCACGAAGTAGGACCATGGATACACACTACTGAGGAGTCTCATACTAGGACGAAACGACTATCCAGTGCTTTCACGTTTTCCGTATTGGTCTGACTTCAATTAACTCATCAATTGAACTATTAAAAAATAAGATCCATATTGTCTTTTTTAATCTTATTGTTAATTTTGCTTACAAGAGAAAATCTTTTTTAAAGTTGAACGTAATTATCTTTTCTTAATATTATATTACCTTATAATAATAATACGATCAGTTATAATATGTATGAACCCTTCATTGGAAAATCTTTAATTGATTTATTCGAATATTTTATTCTATCTAAAGTTGGTTTTATTTAGTACAACTATGAAAGAAAAAAAATCATGTATTCATTTGATAACTATGTTAATCTATTTAGATTTACTATACTTGAGGGGGGGGGCAGAGTATGATGTAATTACAAAATATCACTTAATAAGGTAGAGATTATTATTTCAGCTTAAATAAAGATTATATTGATCTAACAGTACAATGGTTGAATATTCTAAAACATCGATACTTATACTACCTAGTTTTATTCATTATTGTCTTTCTAATGGTCGATTGGTTAAACATACTTCAATGGTACTGAGTTAACTAATCATATGTCAGTGTTATATAAAATGTGATTTTTTGTACCAAAACTGACATCAAGTTAGATTTTCAATGATTTTCTGAAATGATTTTATGCTCACTCAGTTATTAATTGTTAAATGTTGTGTTATTTATTTTTGTGTGTATATAGTTGTGTATTTTATTTCATTAAATGCAACATAATAATGAATCACTAGTCAACCTATTCGATCAAAGGGCGAGACTCTAATTTATGGATGAGCCGATCAGAAGCGTTTGATGAATTTCAAGGTCACAGAGTTCATTTCAACACCTGATACTCACATACGACCAGTTTACAGCGGATTTTAGAGAAGAGGTGATTATTGAGCGGCTACAAGAGATAAGACTACTAAGAAGTTCCTGTACCTGTGACTGCGGTACAGTGTGCAGACTATCGTGATGAGATTGTATTTCGTTGTTCTTTATGTTGGAGAAGAAAGTCTGCTCGAACGGGGACTTTCTTCGCTCGATCGTGACTGAGGCGAATCATGATAATAGTTGCAAATTGGATTATAAAGGCACCAGTAACACTGGCTGCGGCGTTTGCAGATGTTACTGAAACTCCAGCCGTCCAGTGGTATGAGTATTGTCGTGATATATGTGCACTTAAAATGACACGTCTACACGAATCATTCGGAGGAGTCGGAAGTATTGTGGAAATAGATGAAACAGTAGTGCGAGAGCGAAAATAGAACAGAGGACGTAGTATCAAGGAAGATTGGGTAAGTAGCACTTCCGTAAATATACTTGACAGGTACTTGGAATTTATGATCGCTCAACGCAAAAGGAGCATTTCCAGAGGGTGACAAACCGTCAAGCAAGCATAATAATACCAGTTATAAAGGAATACGTGCAGCCGGGCACTACGTTATATACAGATGATTGGAGAGCGTATAGATGCCTTCATAGACTTGAGTATGTCCATCATGTCGTAGTGCATAAACGCCATTTTGTCGACCCTACTACCGGCGTTCATACTAACAACATTGAAGCCATGTGGTCGAGATTGAAGGAATTTTTAAGACCGTACCACGACTCCAGAGGATGACTATTATGGAGCCATATGAACGAGTTCCTATATCGTATGCATTATGATTTCAGAACATCTGAACCTTTATCAAACGTTAACAAGTTTTTAAATCACGTAAAAGAAGAATATCCACTGTAATTCATTAGTTTCTTATAATATATTTTTACTTTATACTAACTGTCTTCTGATTGGCTAATAATTGTCAAGGTCACTTGAGATTCGTTCAAGGTTCGTCCATAAATTAGTCTCTCCGATCAAAGTTCAAGTTAAAGACTATTGGTGAATGTAACTAGTCAATTGACCCAATGTCATGGATATATGTCCTTTCATGAGGCCATATTAAGTCTTTTCTCATTTATCAAAATCCTGACTAGTGAATGATTGTCAATCTTAATATCGTCAGTTATTACGACTGCTGTAGAGCAAAGCTAGGCATGTCATATGGTATGTGAGATGTAAGTTTGAATACGTGTTATCTCATTGCAATGAGAAGCCGAGAATATTGTTCTCCGATTATTCACTAATAACCCCGGGTTAATACATAGAGTTTTAAATTTAAATTACTGAGCTAATGTAAACTGGCCAATAATATCTATAAAATTCACAGTGAATATTACAAAACAATATATGATTAACAGTTCGTAAGTACGTAACTTGTCGGTCGGTCGATGTAAGCCCTTGATGTTAGCATGATATTATAACCAATGTATCATTGATAAATACTACTATGTAGTACACCGTTATTGTTCCAAAAGTAGCTGCGACAATTAATAATTCAGTTTAAGGCTGCTTTTCCTTCTCCTCTCCATCATACTGTTCAATACCAAGCAGCAGATTTACCAACTACAACCTTTCATAATCTCAGTGACTGTTTTAAACTTTCTTTAATTACTAGCATAAATTTTCACTAACAAACTTGTAAAACATTTGACTGAGTTCTAAATAAGTTGTTTTACTCTAGACTCCAATTCTACAAAGAAATGTCTAACAGTTTATGCTTCATTAAAATGGGCATACTAGCTACATTTTCTTTTACAAACAAATCGGATAGAACGACAATCTAGATGGACACCTGATTCAATTTGTTTGCTTCTGGCCAAGATCATTTCAGATGATGATAATCATAGTAATAATCACTTCATTCAATAAGGAATCTCAGCACAAAATATAGTAGTTACAACAAACTTCTTATTTTATAAACATTTAAGGTGTAAATATTTAAAATATGTAAATCAAGCTTTTAAATAAGCAAAGATGGGTAGTGGCTAGCATTGGGATCCAGGACGCGCGTTTCGTCCTATTTGGGACTCGTCAGCTTGACGTACTTGCACCTCAGAGTTGATGTTCACTCTGGTATTGTGACTTTATGTCCGGCTTCTTATCAAGTGGAAAGATACAAGCAAAACAATACTAAGTGAAACTTTTAAGTAGTAATTAGGAACCATTCATATTCATCCAAAATTTTTATGATCAACCTTTTTCCCGTAACACTTTTGTTCATCCATTGATATATTCGATATATAAATTCTAATTGCTGAAAACTTCCCATTATATTAAAACTGTTGCAATAGCTCCTCATTTTTGCGTGTACACTTAATTTGTAGACAAAATTAGTCAGTGAGACTATAATTTATGAACGACCTCTGAGAGATGGTGCTACACAGTGGCTAGAGACGTTATCAGATATGGCTCAGAATAGAAGCCAGTGGCGATACTGCCGTAACCTTCTTTTACTTTGTTCATAAAAAGTGGTTGTATCTTAATTAACTGAAAGATTTCTTCTGATTGTACCTTTCCGTTGCCCAATTATTACTATTATTATTACACTACCCTACACCGATCTCTTCGTTATTGTTCTCTTTTTTTTTACACTCCTTACCTTCTTTCCCTTCTCTTTAAATTCTCATTTTTTGTGTGGCGCATATATATTTGGTGCCCTCTTGTACCACTATTTATGTGTCCAAATAAAATAAATAAATAAAAACATTGAATAGTAATCAAATTTCCGAACTGTTTTAGTTGGAGGCATGAAAATTGTCAGTTTCTCAGTTACACTATTATGATATTAGTTAATGTTACTCTTAAAGTCATCCACAATTTTTATTTTACTCGACAATAAGTAAATACGATGCTTTAACAGTTCGAGTTACCTACTTATGAATTTATAAGTAGTCAATCAGACAGATTTATTTGTTTTCCTGACCAATCACTCAAATGTTATATGTACCCGATTTGTTTTTCATATAGTAGTTAATACTTTATAAAACTGAAAGATATAAATACACCTTTCTGAAAGCAATAATTGATTAGGCTCTGTGTAATGTATATTTGTTGATGCTGAAAGTTTTAGCAGTAAACTGTTTTTTTTAGAAAATAAGATTATATCCTTCGAAGAAAAGCCTATAGGTGAGACTATAGTTTATGAACGACCTTTGAGCGATGCTAGACTGACCTTGAAAGTGTCCATCTACTTAATAGAGCTAAATGACGGTTATAAACCTGTGTGAAGGATAAAGATTATGATTTACAGTTGATGGCTGAGGTAAGGAATTAGATTTAGGGTTTTCATCACGAACTGACATCAGCTCTAATGCCTAAACTCTATTTAGCCAAATGGATGAATTGATTTCGCGCCAAAACCCGAGACTTGTTATCTTATACGTGATTGGTTCGTCCATAAATTTTAGTCTCCCCGTTTACTTGTTCATTCATTCACTTAGACTGATTTTCTATTTCAATGTATCACGTTCAAATTTCCAACAAAATAGATTAGTTAGTTCAATATAGTTTCGTTCTTTTAAAAATGTAAAACCATTTTAGTTATTTATTTGTAAATATGTACTATATAAAACCGGGCAGAATTAATATGGGGTGTCTTCGATGTTTAATAAATGGGTTGTGTTTAATACTTTCAGTCATTATGCACTTAAGTTTTAGTGAGTGAGTGCTGAATATTGAAGTGTGTTTTTCACCAAATATTTCATTCCAGGAGTCTACAGCCATCTGTAATTCGCTAATTTGAATATTTTTGTGTAGTGCACTCCAAAATTTCCGATGAATCAGTCAGTCAGCAACAACGTAGAACTTCGTACGTACATACGTTAGTTCGAGTTGCCATACCACATTAGCCCACACATACAATTGTCTATTCAAATCCCGTAGTGGTAGAGATAGTGACAGTATAAGCAGCAATCGAAAAGATTAGGATTTGAAGATATTATTCAAGGAGTATAATTCAATGTAATAAGTTTGGAGAGAGGAAAAAAGGGACATGAAGAATTCAGAAGATTAGCATATGGGAGAACACAAAGAATGGATGCACCTGTGCCATTGCAGACGATTTTGAGCCATGTCATTCAAGGTCTCTAACCATCGGTTGCTATCGTCTTGCGGATCTCAACTATGTAGTCTTCAGCTACCAACATGTCTCAGTCCACTTGTCAGTGACTTCATGGATTTGTGCCAGATGAATAGCACAAATATAGTGAAAGGTAATGCTTTAAATGAAATCGTTTATGAAAACTATACACCAATATGTAGCACTTTATTTATCTAATCACATAAATATAGATACAAGAAGGCACCAAATAGATATGCGCCACATAAATCATTCGATTCGTGTGGGGGCTAGGATACTGCCCGGGTGCCCAAACCGAAGCAGGTGGTTTTCTCAGTGGGCCACACCCCGAGCTTTTGGCCTAAAGGTCTGATCCAAAAGGCAGTGGAGTAACGTCAGAAGATGTAGTCCCATGGTAGCCGGTAACCAACAATAAGTTCATGCGCTATTTGTTTCCGCAGGATCCTGGCGCCCATGTACACCATTGGTTTGAAATCAGTGTTTTCCAACTCTTCTAGGTGGATCCTCCGTATCCACCAGCATGGTTGAGGCAACGGAATACTCTTTTCATCCCCTCAATTTCGTAAACATCCACCCTGCCACGAGAAGGTAGTGAGTAGGGCTTCCCTGACACTGGGTGTATACCTGTGGCAATGTAAGAGCATTTTGAAAGGGAGAGTTGACTCTACCCACTCTCGGCAGTACCAGGGCATTTGGGGGCAAAGTATGTCGGAGGTGTAGCATTTACCCATTAAATAAATGGAGAAATGTTGGATGCAACACAGTGAACATTGAGAACATTGTGGATAATATCGGTCGTAAAATAGGCTCACAATATTATCGAATTTGCTAAAGTATTCCTAAGCATTTATTAAGTTAAATGTGTCACAGCTATAAATCAGGTAATGTACGCGATTACGTTTTAAGAAATAAATTCGGAGAATAAATGAAATCTTATGATTTTCGACAACACAGTTTTGGTGTTGGTTACTTATATTCACATAAGTAGTATATAACTGTGATCAGGCAGAGAATGTATTCCAGCAGTAGATCGATATGGAAAGAACAGAAACGGAACGCAATCGGTATGAAAATGCATGAACAATGAAATCTGAGACAGCAGACTGATATTTTCAAAAGGAACAGTGAGGTTTGAGACGATGAATTAATATTTTGCAAATTAATTATTTACTAAATGGTTCTCAGATTTTCATGAGATGCTCTGCAATTTCGTGTTAAACAAATTTGATTGCCCACACTCGTATGCTTGTTCGCTACGCAGTATGATGTAGTTTATACGGAACGAAACATTTCAAATAATCGCATTGCGGATATTCATATAAAAATAGGTAACTGTCTGACGGTTGAAGTCATTCAATTGCATATCATTTTTAAATTGGTATGGACGTTAATTTACCTTTTGAAGACTTACATTTGTGTAGACCAGTGCTGTAGTTCTACTGTAGAGCTGAATATTTAATACTGATCTATCACTAGTTAGCAAATAATGTGGTGTTATTAATGCTTCGTTACTGATAAGAGATTGCTGCTCAAATCCTCCAACCACCTACCGTCAATTATATGGCATTAAAATGTCGTATTACTTAGCTTAGTTACTATACTACCCAAGTCCATTTAAAAATAAAAATAACAACTAATTTATGCATACGCTTGCAAACATATTTTATAATCGGAAACTATTACTGATAAGTTTGAATAATACATTTTAACAATGGAAAAAACCAGAATTCTACTGTAGTGTGTGCTACTTATATTGACATAAGTAGCATATGACGT